GCGAGGAAATCTGTAACAAAGGGGTAATCTCGGGTCAATTCTCGCTCAAGCGAAGAAACCCTTCGCTTGAGCGAGGAAATCTGTCACAAAGGGTAATCTCCGGTCAATTCTCGCTCAAGCGAAGAAACCCTTCGCTTGAGCGAGGAAATTTGTAACAAAGGGTAATCTCCGGTCAATTCACGCTCAAGCGAGGGGTATTTTCGCTTGAGCGAGAAGTGATTAAAATATGTGGTGACCCAAGTTGCGTTATCTGGCTAACTGCGTTGGACGTTTAACCCATGGTCAATTCTCGCTTAAGCAATGAGTTACTTCGCTCGAGCTAGAATTGATGGGGTAACTGCGTTGGACCGTGTCAATTCTCGCTCAAGCAAGACACCCATCACTTGAGCGAAGAAATTTATAATCGATTATGATTTGAACTAATCGATCATAATTTTAAAATAATCGAATATACAAAATTATGATCGATTATTTCGCTCTCGCTCAAGCGAAGAAACTCCGCTTAAGCGAGAAACACATTAGATAGCGGTTCTAGAACTAATCATTATGAAAAGTATATTTTAGATAGCGGTTAACGTGGAACCGCTATTATATGTTTACTTTTAAGAGCGGTTAAAGTGGAACCGCTATCATATATGGGTCACTTTTAATATCATGTATGTGTCACTTTTAAGAGCGGTTAATATTTTAACCGCTCTTAAAAGTGAACATATAATAGCGGTTTCACGTTAACCACTATCTAAAATGTACTTTTAATAGCGGTTAGTTCTAGAACCGCTATCTAATGTGTTTTCCGCTTAAGCGGAGTTTCTTCGCTTGATTATGCAGCTCCTGCAGAATGAGTTTCTTCAAAACTTTTCACAAAACTTTCTAAGTTATTTTAATTGATAACAACAAGTTTTAATCGATTAAAATAGTTAGCAAAAAGTTCCTTAAATAACCTTTGACTTCATCAAACCCACAAGATCTTTGTTTTATCAAATGATTCAATAAGATCTTCATCACTTTTAATTGATTGAAAAACTCCTAAGTTTCATACATTGAGACATTTCTTAACTAACACAATCTAATGATGCGAAGTAGATGCACATGCAACATTGGGACATGTTCTTCTGCTATGACCAGGGGTATGACAATATGAACATTTTTTAATCCTACTTTGATTTTCTGTAATGTCCATCTCAGTTCTTATACGACTTAATTTTGGTCGGCCCTTTGAAGTTCTTTTCATTTCTGGATTTGCACACAAAGTAGGTCCTGTGTATGTTGGCCAATATTCTTCATTTTGCAGTAACCCAAATTGTGTTTCGTATACCTTTGAAACTTGTTGTAAGGTATACATTGAATTAATATAGTTGTTGAAGTCATGGTGTGCATGCTTGCATGCAGCAAGAACATGTGAACAAGGCATGTGAAATTTTTGGAATTTCCCACAGTCACACCATAATTCATCAAGGTGAACTGCAAACTTCCCTGCTGGTCGAACTTCACGCGGGTTTTGTGTTTCTTCTACTACAAATTTTGTGGTAGACCTGTCAAACGTTATGATCCTATGCGTGTTTGGCTGTGTTTGTGCCTCCCTCTTTCAATGAAAAATGTGTTGCAACAGGTGTACGTTGCGGTGACCATGGAGCAAATAGGTAGATTTCTTGTTTTTTTCAAAACAGAGACTCTGCTATGTTGGTCGTCATGTGGCCCCAACGTCGTCCATTGTCTCATGCAAGTGCCCATTTTTCTCTAGGTATCTCATCCAATCAATTAGCTGCTTTTATGTCACATTGCCTCAAAATGTTGTAATAATAGTAGAATCGTGGTTCAGTCATCCCATACGCTACAACAATATTAAAAAAACATAGTTAATATAAATATTTATTAGCAACAATTAAATAATGAATAAATTGTAACAAATTTGAAGCAAAGGAATTACCCATATTTATAACATCTTTCCTCGGTGCGGTGTTTTTGAAACGTCTCATAAAATTCTTTGCAATGTGTCTAATGCAGTAGACATGCATTGAATTATTTTCACGTCCATCCGCTTCCATTTCTCATGTATGCACTTCTAATGGATTCATGTCGGTCTGATATGAGGCATAATCTTTGCTGGGGTGTGACATATCTTTGAAGGTTTTTTAAGAAAAAAAAATCAGGCATCACTTGTTTCACCTTCAACCACTGCAAACGCAATGGGGAGGATGTTGTTGCGGCCATCTTGTGTTACTGCAACCAACAAGGTACTTCTATATTTTCCATACAAAAAAGTTCCGTCCACTTGAACAATGGGCTTGCAGTGAACGAATTCATCTATGCATGACCTAAACGACCAAAACACACGTTTAAAAATATTTGAATTTTGTTGAAGGACTTCACCTTGGTAAGCTGGTTGTGACTGCAGTTTGTAGATGAATCCGGGAACAAATTGTTGCATCGCTTGTAACAAACAAGGCAACTTCTTATATGAATCCTCCCAATTGCCGTAGATGATCTCCACTGCCTTTTGTTTTGCCAATCAGGCCTTCCTGTATGTTATAGTGTAACCCGTTGTTAATTGGATGTGGGCTATGATTGTGGAGATCGGTGTTGACGAATCAGCATCAATTATTTGACCAATTGTTTGGGAAATCATTTTATATCCCAACTTGTTGTGGTCTTGGCTGATTAATGGCGAAACGCATGTATGGTGCCCTTCAAGCTTCATAATCTCCCAATATTGCTCTCTTGTGCGCAATATTGCTCGACATCTCCAATTGCATTGGTTATCAACACATTCAACAACATATCTACTTTGGTTTGAAATTTTCACCTTGTATGTGCAGTGATTGACAATGTGAAAGCGGTTGATGACATCTTGAACTTGTTCTTTTGTTATGAAACGTTGTCCAAGAAATAGAGTTCCTGCCGGAGAAACAAAAGACTCTCTGTCCAACGCATGACCATACTCTAGGTCTTGTTGTTGAATGTGATTTTCAAAGTTAAGAAAATGTTGTGGTGGGTTGTATGGTTCCATGAAGTTTGGTGCATGTGTAGGGATATGTGGTTGTTCGTCCTCTGAATCATCTTGGTGTTGGCTGAGAATTTCATCTTCGTCTTCATCCTCACTAAAAGGATCAACGACTTCAATTGGGAGGCCAACAATTTCGTTCTCTTGTGTGGGTAGTTCTTCATTGATGTTGGTGGAAGGCCCACTTAGAAGTTGGGTAAAAGGGATGTAGTCATTATGTGTGGGTATTTATGGGTCAGTGTTTGGGAAAGCTTGGTAGGGTAAGGGTGAAATTTCTGGTGAGTGTGTGTTGGGGTATGAAGAAGAAGAAGTTTTAAATGAAACAAAAATTTCAATACCACATAGACTTGAGTTTGAATCATGAACATCGAACATGGTCTCCACGTCGTCATCATCTTTCAACTCAACAGCAATGAAGTTGTTGATCCCAACTCCGAGTCTAGTTGGACAGCGAAAATGGATGGTTGCTACATTTTCGTGGGGTTCTTTCTCCAATTTCTTGTGGATCAACTTCTTCAACCTTTGTAGAGAAATTCCTCTCTTTAAAGGAACAAGTTTTGCAGTCCCAGTATTGAAGGTAACTCCCTCCATGGGACATGGGTTCATGAAACCATCATAGTGGACAATAGTAGACACTACACCCATTTTAAGAGTGTGGAACACAAAGAAGACTAAAGGTAAGAAGAAGAAATAATGCAAATAGCTTCAGAGATTTAGGAGTGTGCAATGTGAGAACTTCAAAGAATGAAAGTGGTCTATTTATAATGAAGTCCATTGGTTTGAATCTAATGCTCCCTCACATGGTTTCTGACGCACACAAAACCCAAGCAAAGTGGGCGGGTCAACATCTCTTTAAATATGTTTGGATTCTTCTGCTTTTGTCTAACCCAATGTAGGGAATCCAAGATTGGAATCCTAACTTAGGTGGGTAACTCAGCATTGGATTCTTTACTTGTGTGCATCAGAAAGATATGGGAATCCTGACTTGGGTGGATGACTCAGCATTGTAAATAGTTGTAGGTTTCCTCGCTCAAGCGATGGGTTTCTCGCTTGAGCGAAAATTGACCACAGCTAAACGTCCAACGCAGTTAGCCACATAACGCAACTTGGGTCACCACATATTTTATTCACTTTTCGCTCAAGCGAAAATACCCATCGCTTGAGCGAGAATTGACTGGAGATTACCCCTTTGTTACAGATTTCCTCGCTCAAGCGAAGGGTTTCTTCGCTTGAGCGAGAATTGACCCGAGATTACCCCTTTGTTAAAAAGAGTTCATTGCACGAAATAATCGATCATAATATAAAATAATCGATTATTTTAATACGTGAACAATAAAAAGTACTAGTTGTGTAAATAATGTTCCAGATGTGCTATTTTGAAAAATATTTTTAAAAAGAGTATTATTTATGAAAAAAAGTCCAAGCATTTCACATGAATACATAATAGAATTGGCAGAGTTAACGTTAGAGACATAAATAAAAAAAGCTTTTTGTTATTCCGATTATGTTATACCCTAGAGCTATATCTGGAGAAGTAAAAGAAACAGTGCTTTTGTATAACTTCTATATTTTAGGTAAAGTGAAACTATGACGTTACCAACCAAATTATGAAGTTTCTTTGAAGAAAAATGAGAGGGAGTACTAAATTAACTAAAGATATATAATTACTATGCGGTGCTAAAAGCTTGTGCTGGAAAAGTGCCTTGGATGCTGTTACAACAATTTAAATTTAGTTTTAATAAGTCAATTAGTAAATTGATAAGAATCTATTATTATGTTAGTGGATTAATCAAATTTTGTTTTTAAGGTAGTTTCTTATTTTGCTTTCCATTATAGACACTATTGGATTAACGATTGGCCAAAGCAACAAGTGTTTAAACAATGTCTTTTGTTTTAAAACAATTATACTAGGAAACAAATAGAAAATCCTCAAAACAAAAGAAAATGCCTTCTGTACAAATTTGTCTCATCTGACTATCTATGTCTCCATCAGTATGATTTACAAGTCATTCAAGGAAGCGATGACGCTTAGGAATTCATCCTCCTTGCATGGTGTTGTGAGACAACCCATGGGATGGTGATACCCAAATTCTTCCTCGGCTTGCTTCAACAAATCTTGAAAGGAAGGTTAGTTCAAGTATGATACTGGAATGAGAAACCGCTTCATTTTCTCTACGACATGGACTCCAAGGTAGCCCTTTGGAACATCCAATGCTTTTGAAGGTGTTTGGTTTGAAGCAAACGATGCCTTTCTGATTCCAGGTAAACGAAAACCCATTGTTGGTGTAGGTGTTGAGACTTGGGAAGGGACAGTGAGAAAAGACCTGTGATTAAGCTTTATAGACTTCAGATGTTTTAGGCTATGAATGATTTTGGTTGTCGGAAATGCTTGCATACACGAATATATATATATAGAAGAACTTCTTTGTAAGAGATCGTTGGCTACTTGAATGATTGAGGTTAGAGGACTATGACACAAGAGTCATGGGACCAACACAGGGACAACGGCATATGGTATTGCCTTTGACCACTTTCTCTACTGATTCTGCTTGAAATTATATAATAGATGTATTTCTCAAACCTCAGAAATATAATGATCTATGATATTTTGCTATCCCTTGCTTCATAATTCATCACCCACAAAATACATTCCAGCTGTACTCCAACATATTGTGAAGAAAACATGTTTATAGCATGTCTATAAAATTATGGAATACCAATTAATGAATGAACAAAAGTTAGGATTCACTTATGCACGTCTCTTTTGGTTACATGTGGAGACTTTATGTTGGCCATTGTTTGATAAGGTGGTGTTACACACGTCCATTCAATTTTGTCCTTGAGAGAGGCACTGAAGACAACACCATGTGATATCTCATGTGTATGCCCTCCATCCTTTAACAGTAATTTTCTCAGGGATTTGGGTTTCCGTTCCACCGAATCTTAAAAACTCTATATATATACACTATCCTTTGTCTTCACAAATAACACATTCCATTGCAATCTTCAAGCTTCAAAATTTATATTCATTCTTTCAAATTTGAGATTGTTCTACTTCATTCAATCAAACACAAAAAATGGGTTTCCATTTACCTGCTATTCGTCGAGCATCATTCAGAGCTAATCAAGCAGCTTTAAAATCTGTAGAAGTCCCAAAGGGCTATCTTGCAGTGTATGTTGGAGAGAAACAAAAGCGGTTTGTGATTCCCATACTTGAACCAACCTTCATTCCAAGGCTTGTTGAGTCAAGCTGAAGAAGAGTTTGGATATGATCATCCCATGGGTGGCCTCACGATTCCTTGCAGTGAAGACGTTTTCCAACATGTAACTTGTCACTTGAATGGACTATAAATATCACACTGCGGAAGACTGACATAGAATTGTACAGAAAGTTTATACAAAGCATATTCCCAGCTTGTAAAGTTTACCAGTTTTTGATTAATGACAAATTGACCAGGTTGCTAGGTATTTCTGTTTGTCAATACATTGTTAATTTCTTTGTACAATTATAACCGTAGACACTATTAGTAGATTGCTTGCTGAGAAAAACAAAGGACTCAATTGTTATCACGAATCCCACCGTATAACAACACCTACTTTTTTCACAAACAGAGAAGAAGCAAGATATTTTCCAATGGCCAAAGGGAAACTTAATTTGGGACTGGCTTGAAAGATTTTAATTATGCTATAAAATATATATATTCAATTCAGATATCTAAAATGGAGTTTAAGATACGTGCACTACTGCAAAAAAGGCTTTTTACATCGGTTAAAATGGGTTTTTTACGTCGGTTAAAGCGACGACATAGATACGGGGGTCATAGAAAGTCCTACTTTCTATGAGCTATTATGATCGGTCAAACTGGTTCTGATCGGTCATAGAGCTATTCTGATCGATCATAGCTGGTTCTGATCGGTCATAGGAAGACTTTCTATGTCGGTTAGTCAGGGAACCGACGTAGAAAGTCTTACTTTGTATGAGCTATTCTGATCGGTCATAACTGGTTCTGATCGGTCATAATACTTTCTATGTCGGTTAACACTGATAACCGATATAGAAAGTCTTACTTTCTATGTCGGTTAAACTTATAACCGACATAGAAAGTCTCACTTTCTAACTTTCTATAACCCCAGTATCTATATCGGTTAACAGTAACCGTGATTGTATGTGTTATCAATGTCGGTTATGCCTATAACCGACATAAAATGTTACACTTTCTACGTCGGTTATGTCATTAACCGACGTAGAAAGTACTTTCTGATGCCCACCCCTCGTCCAGCACCACGAACACGTCCAGGATGCTCTGGGGTACCAATGGCCACTGCCAATATATCCTGACGGCCATGTGGGTGGAATGATCCCTGAGTGCTCTGCTCAACCAACTCATCCTACAACACAAACGAATGATTTTTTAGCAAATACAAATGTCTATTGTAATATAACATATATAATTAGTTTAGGATATGCTACTTACAATACGTTGAGCAACAACATTAGTTTGCTCGAGATAAGTAATTCCCGATGAGTTCTGCGAGCTCTCTTCCATTTATCATGGCGTGAAGGGCGGGTGACGGAACTCACAACGGAGTCATCTCGAAGGTAGACTTGAAGAAGTCTCCTTCATCATCTTCTCCTCCAATTTCTCATAACCCCCACGAGACAACTCGTGGGGGTGGATATTCTTTCTCCGAATATCCCGTGCCTTCCGCCTCTTGGCCTGTTGCATTCCATGTTAAATACCAAATTTAAAACCTCTATTTAAAAAAAATTACTGCAAACAAATGACAAATGTGCTAACCTCGAAACCTAGGGTCTAATCGCCGAGTCCGAAATGCCTGTCATGTCTCCTCATCCAAAAATCGATACTGGTCACATGGGTTCTTGTTGCTCAATGCCCCATATATGTATCGACTGGTCAGATCACTCTTAAAACCTCTCCAGCTGTTCCCCAAGCATATGAGATCCACTTTGTCCTCAACAAAGTGGTGTTAGGGACATCATATGTGACCTACACAATAAAAATAACATGAAGTTCCCAAAAAGTTAAATATATATACATGTTAAATGCCAAATAAGAGTAGGTACCAGGATACTCTGCCAAATCTGGTTCTTCAGTGTCTCTGGAACATGGTCACAATCCTCAATAAGAATACTAACCTTGCTTCTCCCAAGCAAGGCCACATAGCTAGTGAATCTAGCACTGTGCTCTCCAATGGCTCTACCAGTTTGCATGTCAAACTGGATAGGCAATTTCTGATCGGAGCTACGACTGATATTCAACTCCCTCAACCGTGTAGCACGCCTACCCTTTTTCCTGGTAGACGGCTGACTCTGATCACCACCTTCTGTAGGAGGGGGGGACTGTGTAGGAGGAGGAGTACCAGATGAATCTACCATATCTACACAAAATAACTACATTATAATGCCTACACGAAATCCAACTCCACTCTCAAAATAACTACATTATAATACAAATCTAATTTTCAAAATCAAAATCACGAAACACATTCAAATGCCTACAGAAACACATTCAAATGACTAAACTACTTACAATACATTTCTAAATTAGCTAAAGGCACCCGTGATGTTTCCCTCTCTTGACAGCATTATTACTTACTAGATTCAATACTGTAAACCTACAATGGCTAAAGCAAGCACGAAAACTTACCTCTTGAAGACCTACAAAGGTGGTAGGTGGCGTGACGTGCAGAGCTGGGTGGGGAGAAACGTATCCCAGGCGACGGGCACCAGTAGCAGCAGGCGGCACGAAGCGTTAGCAGGTGGCGTGACGAGCAAATGTGGGTGCGGAGGAACGTACACAGGCGAACGGGGAACTCTGCTATGGGTGAACTGATGAAAAGAAATGGAGCGTAGGGAGAAACGTACAGGGGAGCTCTGCTATGGGGGGAAGTGATGAAATGGGTAAAACAGAAGATACTATGTCGGTTGCCCTAACACCTGTCATCAAAGACACTTTCTATATCGGGTAAAATTTACCCGACATAGAAAGTTCACTTTCTATGTTGGTTAAATGTTACCCGACATAGAAAGTGAACTTTCTCTATAAATCTTCGGGAACTTTCTATGTCGGGTATCTTAACCGACGTAGAAAGTGAACTTTCTATGTCGGATAAGATTTAACCGACATAGAAAGTTAACTTTCCACTTACTATGTCGGTTAAAACTTACCCGACATAGAAAATTTATGATTTTATTACAAAAATGCCACCGCGTCACATACTATGACGGGTGGACTACGACCGTGATAAAAACCCGTCATAGAAAGCTATTTTTCCACTAGTGGTGATTGCCTAATTTGTTTTTCCACAGGTTTTCACCAATTATACGTCTGAATTACGGCCATGATCAGATTGTTCTCAAAAACCTCAATCTCAAAATTTAAAGCTCTAATCGTATATATTTCATTCAATAGACTCGAAGCAGCTCGAATAGCTCAAATCCCTTTTTTCCCGATCAAACAAAATAGTTCTCTTTTAAGACTAGTGCTAGTGAAATATGACAGAAATGAATTCTGGAAACCATGATGGGTACTGTGGTGTGAATATTATGGGAACAAATACTTGAGGTTGGCTAGTGAAATGCAAGAAAAATGTGTTGTGCTGGTGCCATGATTATTCGTGGTAAATTAATTTGCTTGTTTTCAACTCAAGTCAAAAAGCACAATACCTCTGAGAATTTTTTGCATGACTCTTGCGTCCTGGTATATGCATCCGGACAAATTATTTATAAAGTGATACGTAGGTAGAGGCACTACATGGCAAACGTGCCAACAAATGAATGATGCTTGCCTTCATGCTTGTTATGTGCAACATGTTGTTGCCATGACTCGTGTCAAGTGCATGGTCAGTAATGGATGCTAGTTGATCCTGCAAATAATCATATGCTTGTCTTAATGATTAAGCTATGCATGTGTAAGTATGAACAAATTTTATGTATTATTTTAGTTCTAAAAAGCTATCAATATCCTCCCAGATTAATAAATTCATGTTTCTCATTGGCCCTAGCTAAACTACTATTATAGGTTTTCCTGGTGTTAGGAAAGCACTTGGACCACCTCTTAATAGTGCCTATGATTCAGATTGTATAGAGAAGTGAACAATTTAATTTCTAAACACAAATAAATAGCAATTGAGTTCGTTGTCATTACTCAAAATTTGGTAATCTTTACATGCGAGAAGTTGTATATTGTATGAAATGTATACTAATCAATGTCAGTCTCATATGTATAGTGTGAGACTCATTATCTATTCAAGAGGCAAGTAATATGTTGGAAAACATCTTCGCTGCAAGGAATTGTGAGCCCACCCATGGGATGATCGTATCCAAACTCTTCTTTAGCTTGACACAGCAAGTATTGGAATGAAGGTTGATTCAAGTATGATATGGGAATCACAAACCGCTTTTGATTCTCTCCAACATAGACTGCAAGATAACCCTTTGGGACTTGTTCTGATTTTGATGCTGCTGGGCTAGCTGTTAATGATGCCCGTCGAATAGAACGCAAATGGAAACCCATTTTTTCGTGCTTGATATCCAAGGTAGAAGAACTATCTCAAATTTTGAAAGATTGAGTCAATGTTGAAGCTTGAGTGAGTTGTTTGTGAAGACAACGGGCAGTGTGTATATATAGAGTTACTCAGGTTCTACCAATTTCGAGAGAAAATTAATGACGGTTAAAGGATGGAGGACATACACATTAGATATCACATGCTGTTGTCTTCAATGCCTCTCGAATGGATAAGTTGTGTAGGTGTGTGTAACCCCACCTTATCAAACAATGGCTATCGCAAATCCTCCACCTGTAACCAAATGAGACGTGCCCAAGAAACTTAACGTTTGTTCAAGCATTAATTGGTATTCCATATTCACGTTAACATGCTTGGGACATGTTTTCTTCACGCTTGAAATGTAACCTCTAGTTTATGAATTATAATGCAACTGATAGCGAAAGATCATTATATATATTTATGAGGTTTGAGATAACACATGAATTGATTGATCTCAACTTTAATCAGTTAAGAAATATAGCATATGCCCTTGTCACCCAGTTGGTCCCACGACTCCTTGCTCATAATAATCCTCCCACCTCAATCATTCAACTAGCAAAGGATTTCTTACAAACTATTTCTTCTATATATATTCATCCGTGCAAGCATTCTTTACCAACAAAAACCATTCACATCATAAAAGCATTTGAAGTTCAAAAACTTGCATCCTATTCTCAAGTGTTTTCTCACATTCTCATCCCAATTCTCCACACATACATACAACAACAATGGGTTTTCGTTTCCCTGGAATCAGAAAGGCATCAGTCGCTACAAATCATGTGCCAAAGGGCTATCTTGCAGTGTATGTTGGAAAGAAAATGAAGCGGTTTGTTATCCCCGTATCATACTTGAACCAACCGTCCTTTCAGCAATTGTTGAATCAAGCTGAAGAAGAATTCGGGTATGACCATCCAACGGGTGGTCTTACAATACCATGCAAGGAGGATGAGTTCCTAACTGTCACATCTCAGTTTGAATGATCTTTAAATCTTGCTAACACAGATACAAATATATTAGAAGAGACAATCTTGTACAGAAGGCCTTTTCTTTTATTGAGGATTTTCTATTTGTACAGCACTTAAGCTGGTTCCCTGAATGAGAATGTAACAGACGACATTGTTTAATCACTTTTTGCTTTTCCCATATCTCAACAAGTTTTTATAACCTAATTTAACTTGACATACATTCATTCATACATACATACATACATACATACATATATATACATACATACATATATATATATATATATATATATATATATATATATATCAGATTATCAAGCACATATTTTAAGTACCACAATGTATTATCTGTGAATACAGCTGCCGTAAAGCCACTTTTGTGGAAGTCAAAATAAGGGAACTATTTGTGAGCTATTTGTTGGCTATTGAAAAAAAATAGTCATAGTTCTACGGTGGCATTAAATGCCAAGCAAAAAAGAGAAGTCCCTTCTTCTCTATAAATACTGGCTTCGTCCTATGCTTTAAAAAACATCCCAGCAAGAGTGATTAAATCAGAGAGAATATAAAGTTTCTCCTGTGAGGTTCTTCTAGTAAGTGATTTCTCTTATTTTAAGAAGAGAGAGAAATTGTTCTTTCCTTCTAATTTAGAGAGAAGTTGTAATCATTCTTCCACATAGTGAAAATCTTTCTCTGGTATTGCTCGTAGTTATTTCTTTATCTGTTGAGAGTTTTCTACGTAAAATATTGAGTGTCAATTCCTAATTTTCTCATATATATATTTTAGCTGAAAAATATTATTTCGCTACTCTGAAACCCAACAGTGGTATCAGAGCCACTAGGTTGTGATATTATTTCACTGCTATAGTTACTATAATAGTGTTAGAGAAAATTCTTATTATACTTTGTGGTTTGCAGTTAATATGATCTTCCACATCAGAAAAGAGTTATTCTTGTTACTGGATATAAAAGTTGTTCCAGTAGGCAATACTATTCATAGTAACAGGTGCATAAGTCAGTTTAAACCATGGCGGCAAAATTTGAGATAGAGAAATTCAGTGGGAGTAATTTCTCCCTGTGGAAATTGAAAATAAAGGCATACTTGAGAAAAGAAAATTGCTTAGCAGCAATTGAAGGTAAGCTTGATGGTATTACCGATGAAAAATGGAAGGAGATGGATAACATTGTTGTTGCTAATTTGCACTTGACATTGGCAGATTCTGTCTTGTCTAGTGTTGCAGAAAAGCAAACAGCAAAGGAGATCTGGGATACACTCGTAAAATTATACAAGGTTCTCTTCACACAAAAAATTTCTTAAAGAGGAGACTCTACACTCTTCGAATGAGTGAATCCACATCAGTCACGGATCACATCAACAATCTCAACACACTATTTGCTCAGCTAACAGCCTCAGATGTCAAAATAGCAGAAAGTGAACGTGCGGAACTTCTACTTCAAAGTTTACCAGACTCGTATGATCAACTCATCATAAATATCACAAATAATATGATTTCTGACTATCTAAACTTTGATGATGTTGCCGGAGCCATCCTTGAAGAAGAATCTAGGCGCAAGAATAAGGAAGATAGATTGGAAAATTCCAAGCAAGCAGAGGCTTTGACGGTGGTGAGAGGAAGATCAACAGAGCGTAGCTCCAGTGGGAGTCAAAATCATGGTAGATCGAAATCTTGAGGAAGGAAGAATTTCAAATGTTACTACTGTGGCATGAGAGGACACTTGAAGAAAGATTTTTGGAAGAAGAAAAATGCTAAGAAGTCTCTTGAAGCAACTGCATCTCAAGGATGTGTTGCTAGTACCTCCGATGATGGAGAAATCTTGTATAGCGAAGCAGCGGTTGGTTCCAAAGGTGAAAAACAGCTCACTGATGTTTGGATAATAGATTCAGGAGCAACATGGCACATGACTCCATGAAGAGATTGGTTTTGCACCTATAAACCTATCTTAGAGGGATCTGTGTTCATGGGTAATGATCACGCCTTGGAAATTGCTGGAATCGATACTGTCAAATTGAAAATGTACAATGGTACTATTCGTACAATTCAAGGGGTACGACATATGAAGGACTTGAAAAAGAATTTATTGTCTATTGGACAATTGGATGACCTCGGTTGCAAGACCCATATTAAAGGTGGAATCTTGAAAGTGGTGAAAGGTGCTCTAGTAGTGATGAAAGCAGAGAAGTTTGCTGCAAACTTATACATGCTTTTGGGAGATACTTTACAAGAGGCAGATGTATCAGTTGCATTAGCTAGTCAAGAAGAATCAACAACAATGTGGCATCGTAGACTAGGTCATATGTTAGAACGAGGCTTGAAGGTCCTTGCGAAACGTAAACTCTTACCCGGACTCACATCGGTAAGCTTACCTTTCTGTGAGCACTGTGTGACAAACAAACAACATAGATTGAAATTTGAAAAGTCAACTACTAGAAGCAAACACATACTTGATTTGATACATTCTGATGTGTGGGAGTCACCGAAAATGTCCCTAGGAGAAGCTAAATATTTTGTATAATTTATTGATGATTACTCTAGGAGATTGTGGGTGTACCCAATCAAGAAAAAGTCATATGTGTTTCCAGTTTTCAAGGAATTCAAAACATAAGTGGAGCTTGAAACTGGGAAGAAGATCAAGTGCTTAAGGACAGACAATGGAGGAGAATATACAGATGGTGAGTTTCTGGCATTCTGCAAGCAGGAGGGTATAAGGAGGCAGTTCACGTTGCTCATACACCTCAGCAAAATGGTGTAGCAAAGCGGATGAATAGAACTCTCTTAGAGAGGACTAGAGCTATATTGCGACCAACAAGATTAGCCAAGTATTTTTGGGCAGAAGCAGTGAAGACAGCTTGTTACGTGATAAATTGATCCCCATCAACTGTGATTGGTTTAAAGACACCTATGAAGATGTGGAAAGGAAAGTCAGCAGAGTACTCTTCTCTACATGTGTTTGAATGTCTTGTGTACGTAATGTACAACTCCCAAGAAAGAACAAAGTTGGATCCAAAATCTAGAAAATGCATAATCTTGGGCTATGCTGACGGAGTTAAGGGGTATCGCCTGTGGGATCCCACTGCCTGCAAGGTTATTGTCAGCAGAGACATAATCTTTGTAGAGAATGAACTACAAAATGAACAGGTAAATGACAACACTTCTAAAGATGTTACTACTGTACAAATAGATGGAAAGTCTGGAGAAGAAGATTCTTTAGAAGCAGAACCAGAGCATGAGGAACAAGAACCAGAAGAGGTCAATGATACAGAAGTTCGACGAATAACACGTCAGATAAGGAGACCATCTTGGCACTCAGACTATGTAATGGCAAGTCATGATGCATATTGTCTTCTAACAGAAGAGGGAGAACCGTCAACCTTTCAGGAGGCTGTGAGTAGTTCAGATGCTTCTCTGTGGATGGCAGCAATGCAAGAAGAAATAGAAGTCTTACACAAAAACGATACATGGGAGCTTGTTGCACTTCCACAAGGTCGAAAAGCCATCGGCAACAAATGGGTTTATAAGATCAAACGTGATGGTAATGATCAAGTGGAACGATATCGTGCAAGACTGGTAGTAAAAGGGTATGCTCAAAAGGAAGGCATTGATTTCAATGAGATATTCTCTCCAGTGGTTAGACTTACCACTATCAGAGTAATGTTGGCTATGTGTGCTGCATTTGACTTACATCTTGAACAATTGGATGTAAAGACTGCTTTTCTTCATGGAAAACTTGAAGAAGAAATTTATATGCTCCAACCAGAAGGCTTTGAAGAACAAGGAAAAGAAAACTTGGTTTGTAGGTTGACCAAATCTTTGTACGGCTTAAATCAGGCGCCAAGGTGTTGGTACAAGAGATTTGATTCCTTCATTATTAGCCTCAGATACAACAGACTGAGTTCAGACCATTGTACGTATTACAAGAGGTTTGATGATAATGATTTTATCATTTTGCTGTTATATGTGGATGACATGTTGGTGGTAGGCCCCAACAAAGATCAAGTCCAAGAATTGAAGGCACAGTTGGCTAGGGAGTTTGATATGAAGTACTTGGGACTCGCAAACAAGATTTTAGGGATGCAAATTCACCGAGATAAAAAGGATAGGAAGATTTGGCTTTCTCAAAAGAATTATCTTAAGAAAGTTTTGCGACGCTTCAACAAGCAAGATTGTAAGCCAATCTCTACCCCATTGCCTATCAATTATAAATTATCCTCAAATATGTGTCCTAGCAGTGAAGTAGAGAGGATGAAAATGTCTCGAGTACCGTATGCATCGACAATGGAAAGTCTTATGTATGCTATGATTTGTACGAGACCAAATATTGCACAAGCAGTTGGGACGGTCAGTCGATTTATGGCAAATCCTGGTAGAGAGCACTGGAATGCTGTGAAGAGGATCTTAAGATACATTAAAGGAACCTCAGATGCTGCATTATGTTTTAGAGGATCAGAGTTTATTGTCAAAGGATATGTTGATTCAGATTTTGCAGGTGATCTTGATAAAAGAAAATCTACTACAGGATATGTGTTCTCCCTTGCAAACGGAGCGATAAGTTGGTTATCTAAACTGTAGACTGTTGTAGCTTTATCTACTACAGAGGCGGAGTATATGGCAGCTACCCAAGCATGCAAGGAAGCAATTTGGATTCAAAGGTTATTGGGAGAACTCGGACACAAGCAACAAAATATCACTGTGTATTGTGATAGTCAAAGTGTCTTGCACATTGCAAGGAATCCAGCTTTTCATTCTAAAATGAAACACATAGGAGTACAATATCATTTTGTCAGAGAAGTAGTACAGAAAGGGAGTGTGGATATGCAGAAGATTCATACCAAAGATAACCTAGCAGATGCTATGACAAAGCCAATCAACTCTGATAAGTTTATCTACTGCAGATCCTCCTATGGTCTATTAGAAGCATAAGTAGCATGGAACAGGCAAGTAGAGAAAGATTTTGAAACTCACAAAAGTGACTTTAAGTGGGAGATTGTGAATACAGCTGTCGTAAAGCCACTTTTGTGGAAGTCAAAATAAGGGAGCTATTTGTGAGCTATTTGTTGGCTATTGAAAGAAAATAGTCACAGTTTTACGGTGGCATTAAATGCCAAGCAAAAAAGAGAAGTCTCTCCTTCTCTATAAATATTGGCTTCCTCCTATGCTTTAAAAAACATCCGAGCAAGAATGATTAAATCAGAGAGAAGAGAAGTCCCTCCTTCCCTATAAATACTGGCTTCCTCCTATGCTTTAAAAAACATCCCAGCAAGAATGATTAAATCAGAGAGAATATAAAGTTTCTCCTATGAGGTTCTTCTAGTAAGTGATTTCTCCTATTTTACGAAGAGAGAGAGAAATTGTTCTTTCCTTCTAATTTAGAGAGAAGTTGTAATCATTCTTTCACACAGTAAAAATATTTCTCTGGTTTTTCCCGTAATTATTTCTTTATCTGTTGATAGTTTTCTACATAAAATATTGAATGTCAATTCCTAATTTTTTCATATATATATTTTAGCCGAAAAATATTATTTCGCTACTCTGAAACCCAACATTATCTTCAGTACATTAGTACTCCCCCGTTCTGCATTACTGAAAAATCTCATATCCTTTCCCAAGATTCATGAATTCTTCCATTTTCTTAAACAAGCAGACCATGACATGGATTATTAGTTGTTTCGTGTGCAGAAAAGAATGGAGTTATTAAGAGCATGGTATCCCCAAATTCACAACAGATATAGAACAAGATATCACCAATATCAGGGGATAGATCTAGAAAATAGAAACTATTGATTTTCACAGATTCCGTGAACAGAGTAGTTCTTTTATCGGCCACGGCAAATTATTTTTCCCTCCAACATATTTCTGTATACTAAATTTAAATATGGAGATAATTGATGATAAGGGTTTTAGTTTATCATAATTGTTATAGAAATAAAGCTACTGTTTTTCTTTAAGGACACACCTATGTTTCTTGCATGTAAGGTCTTTATCAAGATATAGGGTTAGAGATACTGAGCCACACCTGTCGTGAATGATAGGATAAAAAGCTTTCGTAACAGATGTTGGCCAAGTGTATCCAATGAGGAAAATAAACCTTGATGCCAAGTCCAATTTTATTCTGCGTCTAAGGTGCGTGGTCAGGGCTTGCAGCTCAAAGTTCCAATTTGGCACGTTTATTGATAAAAATATATTTGTTCTGTTTTTAATTTGGTCATAGGGAAAATACTTCAGCTCTACCCTTTAGAGAATCATGTTTTCTATTCCTAATCTGAAATTTATCAGAACAAAGTATTTCATTTTAGCGGAAATCAATCATGATCATACAGAAACAAGTTTATCTTGAAACTAATAAACAGAAAATACAGAGATTTTAGTTGATGAATTCATTGTAATTAAATAAAAAAATGATATACTGATTTTATGATTTCATGATTCTAATTTCTGATTCTTTTCCTTCTTTTCAAGAAAGGAAGATGTTTACAAGTTGAGAAGATGCCTAGTATATTAAATTTCTCTACTAATCTCTATCAGTATCCTAACGTGTGAGATTTATTGTCAGTTCAAGCAAGAAGTTATACTTCGAAAGACATCTTCACTGCAAGGAATTGTGAGGCCACCCATGGGATGATCATATCCAAACTCTTCCTCAGCTTGACTTAACAATTCCTGGAATGAAGGCTGGTTCAAGTATGATACTGGGATCACAAACCGCTTCATTTTTTCTCCAACATAGACTGCAAGATAACCCTTTGGTGCGTCCGCAACTTTTGAAGATGCTTGATTTGCTGCAAATAATGCCTTTTTCATACCAGGTAAACGAAAACCCATTGTTGTATTGATTTGAGAAAATAAAGGTAAGTGAAGTATTGAGAACTCTGAAATGCTTTGGAATGCGGTTGATTTGTGTTGGACCTAAATGCTTGAAGCCATGAATATATATAGATAAAAGGATATGAAAGAAACTATCAACTGGTTACATGAATTATTGGTGAAGGAGGAATATGAGGTAGCTAGGAGTCATGGGAGCAAATGAGAGATATGGCATGAGATGTTGTCTATGGGAACTTCTTCAGAATCAACGTAACATGTTATCATGTACATAATCGATGCCCCACCTGCTGGATCCACGAAAACGAAGTGTAATTTGATATTGTCGACAATTACATGTTATTCAGGGTGGTGGCGGCCAGAAGCTTCGTCCATGCAAATTTCATGCTGTGTTTCTTAGAAGTTGACGTACGTAAAATTGTGATTCATAATGCCTCATGATAAAGACATGCATCCAATATTGGTTCTCTTCTTATCACCGTTGTTCCGGAGTTATAAAGTCGTATAGGACAGAACCATAAGTTCATGTCTCCCATTTGGTCTCATCACTCATATCATATCCCTCTGTTAAACATTCAGTAGACAAAGGATTTCTCTCATACCCTTTTATCTATATATATTAAGGCTGCAAAGATCAACACAAATAATAAATTGCGAAGCATTACACCTTCAATTGGAATATGGGGTCATCATATTGGAATTTATAGCTCTGAATCATTACAACTTACATTGAATGCATGACCATATTACGGGGAACTATGAACCGCATTTTGATGTGTGTAACTGTATACGACGTCTGCATAAAATATGTTTCCAGACCCCACCATCCTTAACAAGTGGCAACAAGATCCAGTTGAACTTTCTTTATCATCAATATAGAAGGTGGGACTTGTATTATTTCCTGCCCCACCGCCTTTAACACTGTATGGTTCATTATCTTCAATCCAATGTCCCTATATCTGGAGAAGTCAAAAAAACCATTGCTCAACTATAACATCTCTTTTTTAACTAAAATCAAACTATGATCTTACAATCAGAGATGGGCCATGACTCAAGAAAAATGTGCATATATAATTGCTACAACCACTGCAATCCAATTCCACAATGTGCCATGAATCAACAAAACAACATCACATGGTATGGTCGCAGAAGTCATTTTGAGGGATTAGGAAGCTAAATGGAAGTGCATACCTCACCTTCCTTAATAATGGTCGACAGATTATTCACCTGATAATCAACTACTAGCTGTTCATGAATTGCAATATAGCTAATCCAATGGTGATATACTTCTTCAAATATTTTAGTTGACAGTGTTAATGACAAATATATAGCTCAACAATGATCCAAATAATATCAGAGTGATTGATAGCAGCCAGTAAGCCTTCAGCAGATCAGGACCTAAATAGTTGTCAACTTCACCAGCTTTATTAATTATTTTCTTCACTATATTTTCTTTTCAAGTGGGGAAATCTAATGGCCTACACTGAGAAGGTGGAATAGTATTTATCTTAACTACTATAACATGTTACGTTGATTCTTGAGGAAGTTCTGAAGACAACTCCATGTGCCCTTGTCTTGCTTTCAATTGGTCCAATCACTCCTATTGTAGCCCTCCTTCATCAATAATTCATGCTTCCAAAGGTTTCATATCTATCCATTTCTCTCTATATATATATATTCGTGGTTAAACAATTAGAACCAACACAAATCATTCACATCCTAGAGCTTTCAAAACTCAATAGCTTATTCTCAAGACTTTTGGTAAACCATTCTCATCTCAAATCACAACAATGGGTTTTCGTTTACATGGTATCCGAAAGGCATTATTTTCAGCAAATCAAGCAGCTTCAAAAGCAGTGGATGCACCAAAGGGCTATCTTGCAGTCTATGTCGGAGAGAAAATGAAGCGGTTTGTAATCCCTGTATCATACTTGAACCAACCTTCATTCCAGGACTTGTTGAGTCAAGCTGAGGAAGAGTTTGGATATGATCATCCTATGGGAGGCCTCACAATTCCTTGCAGTGAAGATGTCTTCCAACGTATAACATGTTGCTTCAATTGACAAATACTAGTATACTTTTGGACACTAACATATATTAATGGAGAAATTTTGTGCCATAGGCGCCTTCTCAACTTGTAGAGATCACCCTTTCTTGAGAAAGAGAAGGGAATTCAAATGAAAAATTCATATTTCTTAGACCATGTTTTTGTGTGGTTAACCAACACTCTATCAATACTGTACACTCACAAACCTTCTCTGTGGTTGTAATGAGTTACATTTGTTTCATAGAATTCAATGCTCTCTCTCTCAACAACAGTGCCTTACAACTTTTCTCTTTGTTTCATTTATTGTTCTGATACCTTTAGCTTGTATTGTATAACTCATAAGTCATAACCAAGAGAAATTTTGTATTGGATAGTAATTAACTGATAACAAGTGTAATGTACAATACTGCAATCACGCAGGGGATACAGTGATATGCACAAAATATAGCAGAAAAGATATGTAGACCAGAAAATACCATATTGGAGTTCAAGTTTTACTATTATGCAGTAGGGTAAGATGCTTGCATCGCTATGCCACAAAGTCCTTCCTCAGAATCCACACCCCTTTGCATCCTAATGTACCCTTCTTCACCCCACTCTGTTCCCCATGAGTTCTTAACCAACCAATACTCAGTTCCATCATCACTGGCACCATATCCCACAGCAGTGACACCGTGGTCCAAGTCAGTTCCACACGAACCAGTGAAGACACCACTCGTGTAAAACTGGAAGTCAGAGCCACTGGCATCAATGGCCACGGACACTGGTTGATTAGCCACAGCCTTTTGCAGTGCCTTCTCATTGTTTGCAGGGACATTCTCATACCCGGTAATGGTGGCTGCGTGGCGGGATGCTGCATTGGCATTGCAGGTTCCATCAACACCCTTGTAAGGGTAATTTGCTTCAGAATTGAGTCCAGGGTTTTGGATGACGAATTTGAAAGCATCATCCATAAGACCACCTTCACAACCTTGGTCCACACCCTTTGTGTCACAATCAACAAGTTCTTGTTCCGACAAAGAGATCAATTTTCCAGAAGTCAGTGCATGAATTCCTTCAGTTGCTGCAACAGCCGAAAACGCCCAACAACATCCTACAAGATAAGTTAATAGTTAGATAATCATTCAGTTTATTGGAAATGTCAATGAAGGATGAAGCATTTGCTTACCACATTGACCTTGGTCCTTCACGGGTGTCACTGCACCCTTTTGCCTCCAATCCACTGTGGATGGGATTGCAGTCTCATTTTCATACTTAAAAGTTGTTGTCCTTGTGATTGAGGAACACATATGCCCCTTGAATCTATTTCTTGGTGCAATGAATTCCTCATTAGTGAGGTCTGCAAATTGATTAATGGCTAGCTTGTAAGGTTTATTGGCAGCATTGTTGAAGGCTTCAATGTAATTGACATTTTCCTTGAATATCCTGAAACGCTTTTCCCTTTCCTGAGGGTCTGTATACACTTTGGCATGACGAACCATCCATTCCTCATGCCTCTCGTACATGGAGACATCTTGCAGAGTGCGAGCTGTGACCTGAAAAGCCCAGAATGCCATGCAGAAAAGAATGGCCATTGAAATATGACAGAAATAATTTTTGGCAACCATGGTGGGTACTGTAGTTTGACAACTATGGGAACTAATAATAGTTGAGGTTGGTTAATTAGTGAAATGTTTGAAAGAAATGTTGTGGTGTTAGCCAAGATTAGTAGTGGTATTTATATAAATTTAACGTTGAATGGTAAACTAATGTTATTTGTTTTCAACACAAATCTGAAAGCACCTTTGTCTTAAGCATGGCTCATACATAGTTTGGAATTATAAAAAATAAGGTTTGAAGATTTTATTGTTTCATGTGCATGCATATTGCTAACGCATAACCCCCAATAAAGGGGACTCTTCTTTTATACTCCTGCACCAAAGCATTTTAAATAATATAATAGTTGGATAATCACGTTGATATGTATATTTATAGCTATATCTATTAATGCGCTTTACTTTCTACTTGTTACAAATTTACAAAAATAAACAAAAAAAGTGTGAAGTTAAAATATAACAATATACATTTTATTGAACTGTATTATAAACTAAATATGTAAAAAATAATTTAAATAAATATGTAAAAAATAATTTAAATAAATAAAATGAGTGGGATAGGTTGCATGTGACCAAAAGAAAATGCATAAAATGGTATCATAGCAATCATTTTTCACATAGTATCAGATGAGTTTGTCAATCTATCGATTGATAGAATCCTTTGTTTAGGTTCTTTCCATCGTATAATAACTGTTTTTAATAGAGAAGTGATAACTTTTTTATATATTATAAGTTTTTAAAGTGATCAAAGGCTTCAATAAGTTTTAGGTTCACAATATATTATTGATTTTTTTGGTAATATATATTTTTTTTAAATTGGATACTAAATAAATTAAATATTTCCTAAATAAAATATTTAGTTTTGTTTATTTAGAGTTAAGTCCTTCAGTTTTTTTTTTCTCATAATAGATTATAAGCTTATATCCATCAAAATGGAAGATAAAAAATTTCCAAAAAAATAGAAGAAAAAAAACATGAATTATGTTTTACATGAAGATGAAGATCTAAAATAAATAAATAAATATATTACTTGAAGAGAATTCAGTCATCTTTAGCCAAAATAAATTTAGCTTGGAAGAGAAAGAGATGAAGACTTTAAAAATCCCAAGAAATAATGTTAACAATTGTGATTTTTGGGTTGCCATTTTATGTTTATCAAATTTTTTATTTTTTTATAAGTTTAAATAAATTTTAGTTTACTTATATTCATAAAACTTAATTGTAGCGTGGTTTCATAATATTTATTTTTAATTTAGCTATTTTTTGTTCTTTGTTTTTCTAATTAAGAGTTTCATATAGTTTTTCTATTAAAAGTTCTTGCTCTAAAATTACAAAAAATATGCAAAATATGGGTGCAAAATTAAAATATCAATTTTACTTTACTCTTTTAACTAAATTAATTGAAAAATATAATATTAATAAAGCATTTTATTTTTGTCTTATTATGCCTTCGGACATTTTGCTGGTGGCGTACGCTACAAGGCTTAATTTATTATTCATTAAAATAACATTCTAAAGTAAATATATTATTATATTACTATACATTTTTATATTAAAAATATAATTGTAAATTTGTTTTGGAAGATTAAAACTTTTCATTTGGTTATGCTTTAGCAATTTGCCTACACGAAGTTGATAAAGTTTTCAAACCTCCATTGTTTATTGCTCCAAACTTTCCAATACGCACAATCCTCTTGAAAAGGACTTTGGTATGGTTATGGCAGCATCTTCATTCGACAACACAAAGAAAGAGGTGCTTCGAGTTGAATTGAGAACTAACATTAATTTAGAATTCAACGTTAACATGCTTATATAAACACCAAAAACAATCCTGAATACCATACCACAGCATAACACATCTTTCACACTTTTCACTAGCCACCCTGAAGCAGTAGTTCCAATTATTGTCACAACAAACTAGTAACCATGGCTGCAAAAAATCATATCTATCATATTTCACTGGCATTCCTTTTCTGCATGGTATTCTGGGTTTTCCAAGTCACATGTCGCTCTCTTCCAGATGCCTCCATGTATGAGAGGCATGAACAGTGGATGATTCGTTATGGCAGAGTGTATAAGGACCCTCAGGAAAGGGAAAAGCGTTTCAGGATATTCAAAGAAAATGTGAATTTCATTGAAGCCTTCAACGCTGCTGCCAATAAACCTTACGAGCTAGGCATTAATAAATTTGCAGACCTCGCCAACGAGGAGTTCATAGCATCCAGAAATAGGTTCAAGGGGCGTATGTGTTCCTCAATCATAAGGACAACCACTTTTAAGTATGAAAATGTGACTGCAATCCCATCCACAGTGGATTGGAGGCAAAAGGGTGCAGTGACACCCGTCAAGGACCAAGGTCAATGTGGTAAGCAAATGCTTCATTCTTCACTGACATTTCCATGTCATATTAAACCGAATTATTATCTAATATTAATTTATCTTGTAGGATGTTGTTGGGCATTTTCCGCGGTTGCAGCAACTGAAGGAATTCATGCACTGACTTCTGGAAAGTTGATCTCTTTGTCAGAACAAGAACTTGTTGATTGTGACACAAAGGGTGTAGACCAAGGTTGTGAAGGTGGTCTTATGGATGATGCTTTCAAATTCATCATCCAAAATCATGGACTCGACACTGAAGCCAATTACCCGTATAAGGGTGTTGATGGAAAATGCAATGCAAAGGCAGAAGCCATCCATGCTGCTACCATTACTGGCTACGAAGATGTTCCTGCTAACAATGAGAAGGCCCTTCAGAAAGCTGTTGCAAATCAACCAGTTTCAGTAGCCATTGATGCCAGTGGTTCTGCTTTTCAGTTTTACAAGAGTGGTGTTTTCAGCGGTGCATGTGGAACTGAGTTAGATCACGGTGTCACTGCAGTGGGTTATGGTGTTAGCAACAATGGGACTCAGTATTGGCTGGTAAAGAACTCATGGGGAACAGAGTGGGGTGAAGAAGGGTACATTAGGATGCAAAGGGGTGTAGATGCAAAGGAAGGACTGTGTGGCATAGCCATGCTAGCATCTTACCCTACTGCATAATTCTAAAATTTGAACACCACTATTCCTAGACTGCATACAGTTTTACATATTTTACAAGTCTCAATTTCCATTGCCACTTTTGTATAAACAGTGTATTCTCACATGAATCATGTATTTGTACCTATTAATGATGAAATGAAAAATTAGTCTTGTGACCTATGATATACATGCATTTTATGGTGGTGCATTTATGTAAACTTTATTTATTTAATTTAACAAGTGCTTGTAGTAATTGTTAACGAACTACTGATAACGTGCGTGCGATAGTGGTGTAGAAGGTGACGCTTCCCTCCCTCGTTCTGCTTTGAAACAATGGCAGAAGAATTATCGACAGCAAATCCGCAATCGCAAAAGAGCCAATTGAGTAGTTGAATTCATTGTCATAACTCAAAAGAAATATGATAAACTGTGAGTATGTCATTCTGTATACTTTTTCTCCTACTCGAGATAGAAAGGTCTTCACAAGTTGAAAACACGGATACTGTACAAAATCTCCTCTAATCTATGTCAGCTTCCTAAAGAATGAAATTTATCGTCAATTCAAGCAAGAAGTTATGCGTTGGAAGACATCTTCGCTGCAAGGAATTGTGAGGCCACCCATGGGATGATCATATCCAAACTCTTCCTCCACCTGACTTAACAAGTCTTGGAATGAAGGTTGGTTCAAGTACGACAGTGAGATCACAAATCGCTTCATTTTCTCTCCCACGTATACCGAAATATAGCCCTTTGGTGCATCCACCGCTTTTGAAGACGCTTCATTTTCTACAAATAATGCCTTTCTGATTCAAGATAAACGAAAACCCATTGTTTAAGGAAAGTCTTGAAAATAAGATTTAGAATTTTCGATGATGTGGTTTGTGGTTGTCCCAAATGCTTGTAGCCCTAAATATTTATAGATAAAAGGATATGCAAAGGGGTTATTAATTGGTTACTTCAACTATTGGTGGATTGTTATGAGATAGGAGCCATGGGACCAAATGAGAGACAAGGCATATGGTGTTGTCTAGGAGGACTCTCTTCCTTATCAATGTAACGTGCTATGGTAGATAATACAAGTCCCACCTTCTGGATGTATGATAAAGAAAGTCTAATGTGAAACTTAATCAAGGTGGTGGGTTCGGAGACATCATTTATGCAAATGTCATGCAGTGCTGCTTAGAATTTGACGTACAGAGGAGATAAGAGAAGAATTAACATTGAATGCATGATCATATTATGAGCCACTATGAAACAATTAGTCTTTCTTTTTCATAGAACAAGAAGGTGGGACATGTATTATCCACTATGAAACAATTATTTAAGAAAGTCCTTCTGGACAGCACCACATGCTATATCTCATTTGGTCCTATGACTATCCTTCACCAATAATTAATCCTTTCTTGCATATCGCTGTTCTCTATATATACTCATGGCTGTAAGCATTTAGGACCAACAAATCATTCTCTTCCCAAAGCATTCAAAATTCAAGAACTTATTCTCAAGACTTTTTCTTAAACCCGTTCTCTTCACATATCAGTACAGTATGGGTTTTCGTTTACCTGGTATCAGAAAGGCAATATTTACAGCAAATCAAACATCTTCAAAAGCAGCTGATGCACAAAAGGGATATCTTGCAGTCTATGTCGGGGAGAAAATGAAGCGATTTATGATCCCTGTATCATACTTGAACAAACCTTCATTCCAGCACCTGTTGAGTCAAGCAGAGGAAGAGTTTGGATATGATCATCCCATGGGTGGCCTCACAATTCCATGCAGTGAAGAAGTCTTCCAACATATAACTTCTTGCTTGAATGGACAATAAATCTTACACTTTAGGAGACTAACATAGATTAGTGGAGACATTTTGTCCACTAGACTTCTTCTCAACTTGTAAAGATCTCCCTTTCGTGAGAAAGAGGAAATAGGAACAGAATAAAAAAATCATAAAACATGATTTTTTTTGTGTAATGAAAATTAACTCAACTATTCAAGTATCTCCTCAGTATTTTCAGTTTATCAGTTTCAATGTTCACTTCTCTGTACATGACCAAGGTTAATTCAGTGAAGTAACCAGACTCTGTTGTGAGATATTTCAAAGCAGGTATAGAGCACGTGATATAAAGAACGCTAGAGCAAAAGTTTCCCTTCGACCAAAGAGTAAATAAATTTATCTGGGACAAGCGAAGTGTACTTTACAAATACATAGGAAATTAACATATTAAGGAACTAGGGCCCTTAACAAACCAGGTTTCTTGCCTGATAAAACAGGTGCAAATTGGAGAAAACATCAAGGTCTATTTTTTTGCTTCAATATTCCTTGCCTGCCATGTAAAAGAAGCTTTCTTTTATACCATCATGAATGGTATGTCTCATTTTCTATAACACTCTATCGGGAGAAGTCAAACAACGAATTCTTTTGAGTAACTTCTGTGTTTCATATAAAATGAAACTAAGACCATACAATGCTACAAGCACAGGTTTAAAGTTTTCAAACCAAATAAAGAATGTCCTTAAACGGTCAACCTGTCTAACAATTACGGCAAACTGATATTTATATCGTAAAATATATGTCCCAAAATTATATACACAGATGAACTTGGAAGTTAGATATCCGACTTATCGATTTAAATTTATCAAAAAGAAAAGATTGGAAAGGCATAAATATAGAGCAACTAGTTAATATTCATTGAAGCTGTGGAACGAGTTCTAATTTTCTATCCACAAAAATTTGAGCCGTCTTCTTCTATTACCATTGTGAAATTTGGGGCGATAATAAGTTGTAATCATTCCATGTGTTTTTGCAAAAAAACAACTAATAATCCAAGATATAGTTCTACTGCTACTTGTTTAGGAAAATGGAAGAGCGAGTACTAACTTAAGCAGACATATATAATTACTATGTGGTTCTAAAAGAAGAAACTAAAACAGCGAGTACTAAATTTATTGAGATTTGCAAAAGAAAAATGTGTTTAAAAATGTTTAATGTTGCATTCTCATTCAGGAAAAAGGTTTCAACCTCCGATGAAATTATACAAGAAAAGAAAATAGACAAGCCTTATTCAAAAAATAGTGTCTTCTGTACAAATTTGCCTCATCAAATCTATCTGACTCTATTATAGCACTATTTGCTGCTGATTCAAATAAGAGGTAATATTTTGGAACTCATCCTCCTTCCATGGAATTGTCAGACCATCCATTGCATGAGCAAATCCGAATTCTTCTTCTACTTGACTCAGCAATTCTTGAAATGAAGGTTGGTTTAAATATGATAATGGCATTAGGAACCTTCTCATTTTATCTCCTACATAAAATGCAAGATAGCCTTTTGAAAGTTCAACCTAAAAGAATATTTTTCTCGATTGATATCATTCACTAACTTGGAATAAATACAATGTACAAGTGATAATCTTAGAAAACTAATTAGGTAACTAATAATATTATAGAAATATATTTAAGAAACTAATTATAAACTAAATATATGCTTACCCAAAATACAATAACAAAATATATTTATATATATCTTAACACACCCCGCAAACAAAGTAGGAGGACGATGGACACTGAGACTGTCCCTAAAATCATCAGAAGCGGGAGTCTCTTAGTAAAGATGTCTGCGATCTAATATTGTGAAGGCACATGAAGAACTCAAACCTGACCACGGCCAACCTTTTCTCGTACAAAGTATATGTCCATCTCAATATGTTTGGTAAGTTGATGTTGTATCGGGTTGCCCGACAAATAGATAGCACTAATATTGTCACAATACACAAGAGTAGCCTTGGTAACCGGACAATGCAATTTCAATAATAAATTTCGAAGCCAACACAACTCAGAAACCACATTAGCAACACCCTTATACTCAGCCTCTACACTAGACCGAGAGAGTGTAGATTGACGCTTGGAGGACCATGACACCAAAACACATAGTAACCCCAAGGTAGAGCATCTCGTATCAGGGCACCCACCCCAATCAGCATCAATACAAGAAACAAGAGATGAGGTCGAAGATGAATTGAGATGAAGACCAAAATCAAGTGTACCTTGTAAATGTTGAGAATTTTCAAGGTTTTATGTATATGTATTTCTGATATATCATGTGGATATATTTCTATTTATGTACTCTATGTATATATAGAGTGAAAATATTACAAAATATCAAATATCAATAATATTTCAATCATAACTGCCTAAATCAAAATAATAACCTAATATATTTTTATCTTCTCTCTTAAAAGATAATAAAATCTCTTAATACCTAATTTAAATAAAAGATAATAAAGTAATACTCTCAATATTCCTCCTTACTTTAATATCTATTTATTTGAATTTGATATAAATTTTTTTTCTTTTGTTTTGCTTATAATTTTTCCTCCTTTTTTGTTTGTATTTCTTGTCATCTTCTTTCTTGTATGAGATCACATCTTCATTCAACTTCATTTTCTTCATCAAAGTATTTCTTTCTTTATCAACTTCATCTCTTTTGCTTCTTTCAAACTTCTTCATGGTAGTACCATTGATTCTTTGATGAAAGTTTGAAACGATTTCTTCATCTACATCTTTATTTTCCTTCTTAACATCAATTTCCTTCAAGAAATCTTCTTCAGGCTTTTTTCTTTTATTTTTCTTTTATATCCTTGATTGTAATCATCTCTTCTTTCATCAAATCTAAAGTGAAACTTTTTCTTTCATGTGAACTTTGAATATTTCCAAGTTATTTGTATCTTTAATCACACAAAGTTTGTGTTCAAAAGACACTTTATAACTTTTCTCCAATAATTGAGCAACACTTAACAAATTATGATTAATATCAGGAACATATAAAACATTAAAAATTAATTTGATACCCGAATGACTTTTAACTGCAATTGTTCATGTACCTTTCACATCCATTTGTTCTCCATTACCGATTCTCACTTTAGAAATATGTGATTCGTTGAGCTCTTTGAAAAGTTTTCGATCATGAGTTATGTGGTTTGTACAATCACTGTCTATAAGTCAACTTGTGAATTTTTTGATTGTAGAGCATGTTGATGCAAGGAGAAGTACATCTTCTACTCTATCCTCTATAACTTGAACGACTTCCTCTGGTTGTGATTTACATGTTTTTTTTCTATATGTCCTAATTGACCACATTTTCGACATTTCATATCAGGTCTCCACCAACACTTATTGAGTGTGTGATTATTTTTCTTACAATAAGGACAAACAGAAAAGACTCATGATTTTGTACCTTTGTTGTTCTCGGCTTGGAGAGAACCTCCATTATGATATAGTAAATAATTTTCACCAATAGCATGATCTCCTCTCATCAATCTTCGTTGCTCTTGCGCTTGTAAATCATGTAACAATTCTATAAAAGTAATATTAGACAAATCTATTGTATTTTCCAATGAAGTAATAGATGTTTCATATATCTCTGGCACAGTTACCATAATTTTCTCAACTATTCTGGAATCAGAAAATTCCTTGCCTAACATTTTTATTTTTTTAGTAATACCCAATAATTTTTCTGAGTATTCATTAATTGTTTGAGACTCTTGCATCTTTTGTTTCTCAAATTCCCTTATCAAGTTTAGAACTTTCATATCTCAAATTTTCTCATCCCCTTCATATTGATCTTTCAAATAATCCCAAATTTCTTTGGGTGACTTTAGCGTCATGATTCTGGTGAGGATCATTTGTGAAACACCAGCAAACAAACATGATTTAGCTTTAGCCTTCCTCATTTTTCTTTCTCTGTGAAATTTCATTTCAGCTATGGTGGAATTTTCAGGTAGTGGATCAACAATATAATCTTCTTTTACAACTTCTCATACATCTAATCCTTCAAGATAGGATTGCATTCTCACAGCCCAAAATTGGAATAGCGACTTGTGAAAAAATTCTTTCTCCTTCCATTGTATCGAACTAGGATCTGGATACCAATTTGTTGAGAATTTTTAGGGTTTTGAGAGCTTGTATATGGTCAACCATCGGATCATGCATAGATAAGCACACTTTAGCATTGGTATCAACCGGTGTTGGAGACAATTTGCAAGAAGACATATCGGCCCAGTTAATAATTATTTCGGCATATTTGTGTTGTGAAAGGAACATACCACCCTTATGCCAAGTCACTACAATACCAAGAAAATAGTTCAAAGGACCAAGATCCTTCATAGCATATTCCGAGCTCAGAAGGTTCATAATATATAATCGGAAAGCATGAGAAGAGGCAGTAAGAATAATGTCATCAACATAGAGAAAAATGTAAGTCATATGCGAACCCTTTGGATAAATAAATAATGAGTGGTCACATTTGCTATTTGAGAAACCAAGAGACACGACATAATCAGCAAACTGCTTATAATCCCATATAATGACTTACACAAATAGCACACATAATCTGGATGAGTACAATCATGATACCCCAATGGTTGAAGCATATAAAGTGTTTCTTGTAGCTCACTATGAAGAAAAGCATTATTTACATCCAACTGATGTATAATTCATGCCTTTGAAAGAGAAATAGAAAGAACGGTGTGAATCATAGTCGATTTCACTACCGGACTAAAAGTTTCATCACAATCAATAGCAACTTGATGAGTTTTTCCATTACCTACAAGACGGGCATTGGAAGATATCATGTGAGAGGTAGCTCTGGTGTCCATGTACCATGATGGATCAGTGGGACTCAGAGACATAGTACGCATCGTCGCTTCAATATTTGTAGGAACATCAGAAGTAGACTGCCCATTCTGAGAGGTCATGTAAGCTTGTTGTGGGCATGACCCAAGAACTTTGGGCTGTTGTTGCTGTCTCCAGTGTTGGACCCCATGCCCAGCCCTGGTTTGGATATGGGCATGCAGGAGCCCATTGAGGCATCCAACTCCAAGGTGGGTAATTCGACCAAGGTAAAGACCCCATTGTGGCTGTTGTTGTGGACTCCCACCAAACTACTGCAGACCGCCATTGCCACCCCCTATACGGCCAGATTTTCAACTGCCAGACCCGCGACCACCGCCACTGGATTTTTTTCCAGAATTCTTGTGATATCCAGACGGCTTCCCACGATGTTACTGGTGGTGTAGCTGGTCCGAATGTGAGAAATTTGAGTCATAAACGGATTGGGAGGCAGCCACCATTGCCGACTCCGATCCTGTGGCAGCCTCATTTGCCAATTTGGCTTCCTCAAGCGTGAGCATCGATCGAGCCTGATAAAACGGAAGTAGGGGATCACTCTATCGAATTAACGTCCCTATACCGCGATATGCACTTGTGAGACCCGAAACAAGTTGAATGACGAGGTGGCTCTCCGACACCGGTGCTCTAACATTTTTCAACTTATTAGCAAGGGACTTGAGACGTTGATAATATACGGAAGCATTCAAAAAATTCTCCATCTTAATAATGCAGAATTCGGCCTCAAGAGTTACCACACAAGAATGTTTGTTGTCTTGAAAAATATCTCTCAACTTATTCCAAGCATCCATGGTCGTGCCATTTGGTTCAATAATTGTATGCAACATGTCATTGGAGATGGTTGCATAAAGCCAAGAAAGAACCTTTGTATCAAGAGTCGACCATAATTCTTTTTCGTCCTCATTCACAAGTATCTTCTTTTTGTCATTGGCAGGAGGAATAATGTAATGAAGGACCTTACAAGAACATGCGGTAATTTAAAAAAATTCCGTCCATGTAGAGTATTGGACATTCTCCATTTCAAGAATGATGGAAATATGGTTCCGTATATTAGAAACCGCAAGAGCAAGATGAAAAGAATTCTTATTGTCCGTCACGAGGGTGAGAAAAAAAAAAAAAAAAAAAAAAGATAAATGACAAAGAACGAAGAAAAAGAAACATAATTATCCTAAAAATTTGATACCATAAAAAATTATTTTTCTCAATTGATTTCATTTACTAACTTGGAATAAATACAATATACAAACCATAATATTAGGAAACTAATTAGGTAAGTAATAATATCATACATATATTTATAAAATTAATTATAAACTAAATATATGTTTAACTAAAATACAATAACAAGATATATTTATAGATATATTTACACATGTTTTCACACAACCCTCTTCTACGCTGTTTGCGTTGTCGGAAAAGATGCTCTTTACAATTGCTGATATGCGAAAACCCATTGTTTTATGTTGCTCCACACAACAAATAATATACCGATGAGAAAGGACTATATGAAAGAAATATTTAAATTCTGACACTTCAGGAATACAGCAACTTGTCATTTTAGATAACCCAAGAAATAGTCTATAAATACTTGCTGAGGGCCTCTGCAATCAAATTCCACGATGGATCATGTTGGGGTTTACTAAAGCACTAAGGATCACATGGTGTTGTCTCATCATAGCTCTCTTACAAGCATTAGAAAGTTCAATGAGAGTGCATATTTACTTTCTGAGATTGTGGCCAACAAAATACGCACCTGAGAACCTAATGTTTTTTCATGCACTGCGATATAACCTTTCCAATGGTGGATATGCCTTCGACATCTCACATGCTTCTCCAAATAATTAAGATGACAGTTGTGTTGATATACCATGCACCAATAATATCAGAGTGATAGATAGCAACCAGTAATAATTAAGCAAATCAGATTGACAGTTCTGAATAAGTGTTTGAATGTAAGAAAGAGAAACAATGTTCAATTCATGATCATGAGAAATTTTGAACCACAATTTTTATGTACGGCAAATTCTAACCGACACCGGTATAAAAGTTGCACAAGTTTAGTTCATTGGCCCCGCCCCACTTAATAATTATTAACATGATATACTTTCATTTTTTTTTTTTTTTTGTTATTCTATGATTCTTTTCAAATGAGGAAGGGCCTTCACTAGAGAAGGAGGGACACCTCTATCTTAACTACTATCACATGTTTCGTTGATTCATGAGAAAGTCCTCAAGACAACACCATATGCTCTTGTCTCTAAGTTGGTCCCATTACTCCTATCTCATAGACCTTCACCAATAATTCATGTAGCCACTGGCTTCTTACATATCTTTTTTTTCTATAAATATTCATGACTTCAAGCATTCATATCCTAAAGCAATCAAGCTTATTCTCTAGACTTCTCTTTAACCATACTCATCTCAAACCAACACAACAATGGGTTTTCGTTTATCTGGTATCAGAAAGACACTATTGGCAGCTAATCAAGCATCTTCAAAAGCAGTAGATGTGCAAAAGGGCTTTCTCGCAGTTTACGTCGGAGAGAAAATGAAGCGGTTTGTGATCCCTGTATCATACTTGAACCAACCTTCTTTCCAGAACCTGTTGAGTCAAGCCGAGGAAGAGTTTGGATATGATCATCCCATGGGTGGTCTCACAATTCCATGCAGCGAACATGTCTTCCAACATATAATTTCTTGCTTGAATTGACAATAAATCGCACAGTTTAGGTGACTAACATAGATTAGTAGAGAAATTTTGTATAGGCGTCTTCTCAACACTAGAGTGACAAAGTCATATTTCATAGAGTGCGTATTACGTGGCTAAAGAACATTCTGTCAATACTATACATATATACCTCTCTATGGTTGTACAAGTAATTATTCTTTAATGGCGAAATCAATTCTGTCTCTAAGGATTTCCTCCATACTACTACTTTTACCTTTCTTTATTTTATGGTTCGGATACCTTTTGCTTGTATTATATAGCCAGGACTCGTTTTTCATTAGTAATTTACTGATAACAAGTGCACTGTACAATATTGTGTTCATGGAAGAAATACATTAATATGCACGACCTATAACAGGAATGAGTGCTTAAAAAGATACATCGAATAGTAAACAGTATAATAGGGTCCAACTTTTTTAATTATGCAGTAGGGTAAGATGCTTGCATAGCTATGCCACAGAGTCCTTCCTCAGAATCCACACCCCTTTGCATCCTAATGTACCCTTCTTCACCCCAAACGGTTCCCCATGAGTTCTTTACCAGCCAATACTCAGTTCCATCATCACCAACCCCATATCCCACAGCTGTGACACCGTGATCCAATTCAGTTCCACATGAGCCAGTGAAGACACCACTCTTGTAAAATTGAAAGTCAGAGCCACTGGCATCAATGGCTACAGACACTGGTTGATTGGCCACAGCCTTCTGCAGTGCTTTCTCATTGTTGGCAGGGACATCCTCATACCCAGTAATGGAAACTGCATGCTGAGATGCTTCATTTGCATTGCAGGTTCCATCAACACCCTTGTATGGGTAATTGGCTTCAGTGTTGAGTCCATGATTTTGGATGATGAATTTGAAAGCATCATCCATAAGACCACCTTCACAACCTTGGTCCACACCCTTTGTGTCACAGTCAACAAGTTCTTGTTCCGACAAAGAGATCAATTTTCCACTAGTCAGTGCGTGAATTCCTTCAGTTGCTGCAACAGTAGAAAAGGCCCAACAACAGCCTAAAATACAAATTATAGTTAGATATCAACCTTTATTATTTGACTTGATAATAATGAATAATGAAACACTTACCACATTGACCTTGGTCCTTGACGGGTGTCACTGCACCCTTTTGCCTCCAATCCACTATGGATGGCACTGCAGTTACATTTTCATACTTAAAAGAGGTTGTCCTTAAGATTGAGGAACACATGTGACCCTTGAACCTATTTCTTGGTGCTACGAACTCCTCATTGGTAAGGTCTGCAAATTCATTAATGCCTAGCTTGTAAGGTTTAGTTGCAGCATTGTTGAAGGTTTCAATGTAATTCACATTTTCCTTGAATATCCTGAAACGTTTTTCCCTTTCCTGAGGGCTCTTATACACTTTGCCGTAACGAGCCATCCATTCCTCGTGCCTCTCATACATGGAGACATCTTGCAGAGAGCGAGATGTGACTTGAAAAGCCCAGAATGCCATGAAGAAAAGTAGTGCCAATGAAATATGATAGAAATGATTTTTGGCAGCCATGGTATGTAGAGTTGTGCGAGAAATATGGAAACTAATAGTTGAGGTTTGGTAGTGAAATGTGTGAAAGATGTGTTGAGAGGTTCCCAAGACTATTTGTGGTATTTATAGTAAAGTCAAGTTGAATCGTAAACTAATCTTCTTGTACGTGCAACTCAAATCTGAAACTACCTTTGGCTAAACGTCCGAATGAGAATATTTTGAATAAGATTCTTGTATTTTATGCGAATTTGGGTACTCCAGACAAATTATTTGTCAAGCGTAATGTATAGGCACTGCACACGGTGGCAGAGTAGTTTTCAAACAATAACTTGTTTGTGGGTGTTGGAAAAGTTTGGAATTATAAAAATGAAGGTTTGAAATTTGTTTTGTTGTTTTATGTGCATGCATGTTGCCAACGCAGAACAAAATAAAGTATTCTTCCATTCTAGCGTTCCAAATCTAATATAGCTTTATTTATTTCTTTATCTTTATGCTTTTTTCTTATTTTGTAATTAGTTCTTCCACATGACAAATCAATAAGTTTGGTCTCTGCATAATTTTTTGAGCCGTTTATTATCAGAATTTTGTTTTATAGCAGTTTTATACTCTGAGAAAAAATTTTATCTGAAAATAACGTTAGATTATAGAGATAATATATATATATATATATATATATATATATATAGTATTTTTAATAGTATAAAATATTGATAAAAAAATAAATAAATTATTAAATTAATACAATATAACTAATTCGTATCAAATCTCATAAAACATACTCATAAAACATAATTATAAGAACATAATTATCATCATACATTATTTTTATTTTACATTATTTTTTTCTAAAAATAGTAAAATATAAAATAATTAAAATTAAAATTAAGTTATAATAAAATAATAATGATAATTAAAATTAAATTAAACAAAATTTAAATAATTAAAATTAAAATAAAATATTTTTAATTAAATTATCATAATAAAATGCAGAATTAAAAAATTATTTTAAAATAAAAGAAAGTAATAATTAAATTTAAAATAAAATTTATGCTTAAGTGAAATTGTGTAAAAATAGTATAATTGTAATTAGAATCAGAAAATAAATGAATTGAAAACGAAAATTCAACCCTAATAGAATAAAATAAAAATTTTAAATAATTAAATAACAAAACTTAAAATAAGCATTGATCGAATAAAATGAATAAAATAAATAGAATCGTATAAATTAAAAAAATCAATACAAATTACAAATTAAATAAAAGAGAATAAATTAAAAGTATAATAGAAAAAAAATGAAATTGTCTAAAAATGGAAAAGAAAAAAAGAATGAAACAAAATAGTAGTTCATCCTTGTGATTATTGTTTACATCAAATTTTTTTATAGAAGATTGAATAAGAGAAATTAAATTTAAAATTAATTATAATAAATCAAATATTTTTTAAATTAAAAATTGTAAAATTAAATTGCTGTCAGGACAAATTTCTAAAACTCATTTAAAAAAAAATAATTCATTTCTTTCTATTTTAAATTATCAGCACTGATTTGGAAAGATTGAGCCACTAGAAAACACGTAGAAACAACAGTAGAAATTAATTTAATACTTAAAGGCATGGGAACAATTCTAATAACACAAAAGAAGAGATTACCAATCTATATATATACCAATGAAGACATTTTTTTGTGTGGTTAATCAATTACATCGTTAGAGTAATTTGAAAAGATAACAGGTCCTTCTTTAACATCATTCACTTTGACACTATCATTTCAATAGTTAAAAAAAAAATATATATATATATATATATATATATATATATATATATATATATATATATATATATATATATATATTCATTCAGATAAATCATCGTTGGACGTTAAGATTAATATGCATATCCAGTAGTTATTTTTCAACCATAACTAATCTCTGTCATGAAATTGATAATTATAATTAAAGTTTATATAACATATCTAACCATGTAAGATAAGAATCTACCTCTACATTTGATATTTTGAGAGAGTAAAAAAGGAAGTGTTGTGAGATTTCAACTTCATGTGACAATTGAAGCGTTAGATTCTTTCTAAATATCTTTTGACTGGGGGAAATGCTAGCTTAGAATCTCGTTATCTTCAATTGGTTTTAAGTTAAAATTTAATATAATATTTAAAAAAATAATCTTTTCTATCATAATAAAATTACTGAAAAGGAATTATAATAAAAAACATGATAAGTTCAACTAAAAAGAAAACAAAGATAAAAGAAAAATTAAAAAATACAATAAATATTAATTAAAATTGAATAGAAAAATTAAAAGAAAATCGTGTAAAAAATGCGCTTATAAATGTTTACAAAATCTTTTTTTTAAAATGGGGTTTTTCTAATTTATTATAGATAAAAATGGGTTAACGAATATATAAAAGAGTATTACAAATATTATATCAATCTTCTTACAGTGAAATAATCTAATTCAGCTTTAGTTACTCTAAAGTTAGAATAATGCACTTTACAGGAAAAATGAAACAATAATCATTAATTAGGAAATTAACTATTATATTTATGATTTGTTAAATATATGTTTCAAATTTTCATAACATTGATCTTCTAATCAATGATGTAACTGCATTTTATTCTCTAAAACACACCACCACCACACTCTAAATGAGACAAATTCAATCTAATTTAGTTGAGTAAATGAACAAATTAGTTCTTAACTCACTTAAATTTTAGACTTTAATTTAATAAAGTTCCCTCTTAAAACACAAAATCTCTCGTGTGGTTGGAAAGGGTAACCATATTATTGAGAAATTAATCATATTCCAATAGAATTTTTAAGAAAGTTATTGAAGAATAAAATTAAATTTTATATATTATCAATTTTACATATCAATTACTTAAAACTTGGTCAAAATTATTTATATAAATGACTTTCTTTTAATTTTAAGTAACTTTTTCTATTTTAAGCAAGTTAAATATAAAATTTATAATAAAATATTTATTTTTATTCTGAATAATTATTGTTAATAACTTTCTTTAAAAATACTATTATAAAAGTTTGGGTTTGTTTTTCATTTATTTATATAATTATTATATTTGTTTTTATGTTCTTCTTATTATTAAAAGCTTAAACTTGCTTCCTTTCATTTGGAATTCAATCATTTTCTAATCTAATCTTTTATATATAATCATTAAAAAATGCTTCTAATTTTGAAAAAATTACCTTCATTTTATCATGTAAAATTAAAGAAAATAATGTCTCAAAATTTATCTTCCAAATCTCCATCATTCAAAATAAATTTTAAATTCGTATCATTGTTTTCTCATTACTTTGTCCAACTATTTCCATAAATTGTATTATCATTTCAACATTTTATGTATTCAACTATTACACTATAGATTAATTATCTAATTTTTAAAAGTGTTTTTTTATCACACTTTTAATATATGTTATCTAATTGTTATTTATCAATAATAATAATAATAGTCACCATTATTCATTGATGTAAGATATTAATGTTAGATATTGATAGTAAAGTTTAACAATAAATTTGTGTTTTAAAGACAATGAATTATCCAAAAAATAAACTAAAATTTAAAAACATCATTAACCCTTAAGAAAATGCATTAAAGAGAGTACGATGACCAATAATTGGACATGTTATTCTAATTACGAACCATAATGTTTACATGAGTTTGCTCGAGTACGATGACAAATATTATTAGTAGTTTATATACGATCTATAATCATAAACATAAGTAAATAAAAAAGTAATTTATTTATTTGATTCTGTTGAATTTTTAAAGCAATTTTATTAATGTATCAAATTTATTCTAGAAATTAATGGTTTTCTTTTAATATCTCATTATTTATTAAAAAACACATATTCATAATATTTAATATATGCAAACAAAAAATATAATGTTTTATAAAAAATATAAATAATTTATAAAAAAATCAGTCTTTTCTAAATTATATCTGATATTAAAGATAAGGGAAGTAATTTACATTAACAATATATAGTCATTACTTTTATTTAAAAATACACTAACAATAGAAAAAAAAAACTACACATAATTATTTGATTCAGATTTAATATCTTTAAAAAACTCTATTTCATCTTTATTTTTTATATACATAAATTTTATTCTCTCGAAATTATTTGAATAGTTTTTTAAAGATGATAAATTATAATAATATAGGTTATATTTTTTGAAAGATGAAAAGTAGAGTTTAAAAGAAAAAAAATAGAATGATTCAATCTGAATCTAAAATATTTTTGAGAAATCATAAGCATATGTTACCTGTAATTTTCCCACTATACATCATGAACTGATAAAAAAAGAATACGAAAAAAATAACTTGTAAATCAATCAATGAATATAAAACGCAACAAAAATTAAATAAAATTAAATTAATAAAAAAAAAACATGAAGAAGAACGAAGAACAATATAAATAAAGGGATAACGTAAACCGAAATGGCCCACAGAAAGTGCACGCTTTGTCTTCTGATAACAGTGTTTCAACAAACCTTACTTTCAAGAACCCTTTTCTTCTTCAATGCGTCCACCGCGGAAGAAGGTCAATTTCCGCCACGGCGACAAGGTCGAGGTCTGCAGCAACGAGGAGGGTTTCTTCGGCTCCTACTACCTCGCCACTGTCGTCTCGCGCCTCGACAACGGCCTCTACGTCGTACGCTACGACACGCTGCTCGAGGAGGACGGCTCCCAGCCCCTCACGGAGACCCTCTTCCCCAAAGAACTCCGCCCCAAGCCGCCGCGCCTCGACTCCTCCTCCTCCTCCTCGTTCAAGCTCTACCAGCGCGTCGACGCCTTCGACAACGACGGCTGGTGGGTCGGCGAGATCACCGGCAAGGCCGACAAACACCACTACTATGTTTATTTCTCCACCACCCACGAAGAGATCGCGTACCCTTCCTCCGCAATTAGGGTTCACCAGGAGTGGCTCAACGGCGAATGGGTTCGCTCCAATTGATCAATTCACGTTTCGATTGATGAATTCGTGTAACAATGTTGTGCTGTGGGATCTAATTTCAATCTGTAATAGAATGGAAGATATACTACCCTGTGCCTTTCGTTGTTGATTCTTGTAATAGTTCTTCCATTTGGTTATATCATATCGTATAAACTCTTTTGCTTCAACTTCAACCTTAATTCAATTCTTGTCTTTTACTTGTTTTCTTTTATCTTAATTTTGTTCTGTTCATTTCTTTCACTGCGTTCGTTTCTATGGCTTTTTCTCAATATTTTATTGGTAGATACCAGGGGCGGGATATTAAAATAAATTTTGAAGAGAAAGAAAAACTGTTGAATTACATAATTGTATGCAATTATGTTACGCAAAGTTTTTTGACCTTTTGTGTTAGTAGGAACCGTGGGTTCACTACTAGATCCAATTAATCTCGAAGACTATGACTTTCCCTGTTTATATATTTCTTAAAAATAAAATGTTATATATTTGTTAATGTGTAGTTACGAGGATACATAAATATTTAGGTTTCGTTTCACAGTGTCTAATGAAACAGAGAAGATGTGTGTGTTCATAGTATTAAGTTATATGCTCAAACTTCTTCCCCTACTTTACTTTTAAAGGTTTACGATACATTCATGTTATTTGCCTATATTATTTTTATATTATTATCCTTACAAAATTCTTATCACATGTGTTAACATTTCGTAATAATATTATAATATATAGATTAGGATCATATTTAAATTAATTATTTTTATTTTTAATATTATTATGACTTTTTTTTAAATCTTATAAAATTAATTAAAAAATAATAATTTTTTAAAATCATTACGACTTTATCATGTTAAAAAAGACTTTTTAAGATTACCGATTTATTTCATAAATAATATTAAATTAAAGGATATTTTAATATGAGTAGTGAATTTGTGATAACCCAAATAATTTAACATAATATATTTAATTGCGTCGACTTTATTATTCACTAAAATGATTTTATGAAAAAAAAAAAGTTAAGATGTACCAAATCGATAACAAATTTAAGTTTAACATTCATTTGATAAATTTATAAAACTAAATTAAAAATCAACTACGTATATGAAATTGAAAACTTAGTACACACGCATAGACTAAATTATAAATTTAACCTTTTATTTAAATTTTATTCTCGCTTTTTGTTTTTTCTTTTAACCTTACATTTACCATATATTTATTCAAAATATAAATGCAGACAACAAAGAATATTTCTTTATTAACTAATATATTATTATTTTATTAGAAATGGAAAGAAGACACTTCATTTTTTTATAATTATTGAAATTTTTGGATATTTTTTATCAAAATCATATTAATTATTGTGATATTAATTATATCCTTATATGTTAACAAATATTTAATAAATTTATACATGTATTTATTGTAGATGGAAAGGGAAAATAAAAAATTACAACTATTTTACTATAATTTAAAAAATTATTAAATTTCTCGAATCCTGAAAATCAACCTTAAAAATATTAAGAAAAGAGAGTAATATTCTTAAATTGATAATTTTTTAAATTAAAAAAAAAATAGATATTTTGAAAAATGAGATAGATATTTTGCAGAAATTGCTTAGCGACCAAGTGGTGTGTGTAAACATGACAGACACACAATTGACAATATCCTATGCTCCCTTCATTGTTATGTCCTCGTAGCATTGCACTGCCATAACACAAAAAAAAATGGCACTTGTGAGCCACGTTTGTGTGCGCTGTGCAGCCACACCCACTTCCCCGGAGTCTCCAAGCTCCGCACCCTTGCCAGACCCAAAGAGGACCAAAGTTATCCTTCCCAAGAAGAAGCCCATGAAATGGTCCACTGGGATGGCTCCTGGGGAGTACGGTGGTCCTCCCACCACCACCAAGCTCCGCAAGTACTGGGGTGGTGATGATGAAGACCCTTTGGCCTCTGATGACTTTATGTGGAACAAAGACTTCGTGGGTCGCTTCAAAAGGTTGATTGAAGATCCTCAGGCTCCAACCCCTCCTGCAAAGGTCTGAACTTTGAATCACTTTATTCTCTCACTCACCCAGTGGCCGTCTGGGTTGAACGTTTTTTTAATTCTGATGTGTGTTGGTGGTGTCTCTTTTTGTTGGAATTTTTTATTGATGCTGGACAATTGTTTGTGGGGCATTGTGCTTGACGGTTGTGGTGATTGCTTTCTGTTTTGGCTTATGGCTTTTTTGTGTGTTTGAATTAAGTGAACTAGACAAACTGATCACAGCTATCTCAATTTCCTAATATTAAATTTTAGATCTTCAATCCATATCCTATTCATAACTGTACGAGAGACCTGGTTACTTGAACTAACATATTACATGAGCCTGTGTTTCCCGCGGCAGATCAGCTTTATTTCTCTGTGTACGTGTTCTCCATTATTTTTATTCTATTTGTAACAAAGAGCAATATTTTCTCTATTTGTTTAAATAACTATTCATTATCGAGGCTACGGATATGGATATGGTCAACCCTTTTAGGTAACATATTGAGACCATGTGATATGAACAAAGCAATGAAGTGTATTTTTGAATGTGTAGATTTATTCATAGTAGATATGCTTACCAAATGCTGTATAATTTATGTCACACAATTCCGCCTGTTCTAGAAGAGTATAGAAAACAACTACCCTGTATAGCATTGGTCTCTTTCATGTCGTTATTTCACTCCAATTTTTACATTAGAATCCAAATGATACAACACATGTTAGGTTTCTAAAATCCCCTCCTTTCCTTTTCTTGGTGAAACAAGGAAATGATACAGACTTGACTTTGATGAATACAGCATTGTCACTTTATTCATGTAGGTAGCTGATCTCACCTAGTGGGAGAAGGCCTTAGTTTTTGGTGGTGGTAACTCAATTTATGTTGGTGAATGATTCAAGATTAAATTGAATTTATTTGTTTCTATGGGTTGGTTCTGACATCAATTAAATTCCTGTCAACAGGAAGAGCCTTCAGGGTTTCTAAGCTTAAATAGAGTCATGAGCCTGGACAGGTCTCTTCTACAATATTTAAATTAAAGTCTGCAAATTTGGTTGCATTGCTCTATTTATGTTTGTTCATTCTCTATCTATAATGTTATTTTAATTATGAACTGTAGTTTGGAAGTTGATTTGAGCAAAGAACTTGCGGCTCCTGTAAATCATAATGTACACAAGCAAGTTGAGGCAGAAACTGATGTGAGATTTGTCTCTTCTCTTGATTTTTACCTGAGTATTACATCATTGTGGATCAATGACTTATGATACATCTCCAATATTGTTATATTCTTTACCTATTGGATTCTATTTTGGAAGAAAAAGGGTACATAATACCTATATTGTTTCTCCACATGATTCACTTCACTTATCCTCAACTGAAAGGATGATCAGGTGACTGGAAATAATAGGGTAAGATATAAATCAGCACCAACACGCCGGGAGCAAGAAAAATGGAATAGAGCTACCAAGGCTGCAACTGGGGGAAGTGTGAGTTTTCGCTATTTCATGTTAACTCCATATCATTAAGATCTATCCCTGTACTTAGTAACTGGATATATTTCCAACTAATATAACCTAGGAAAAAATAATATTTGCTGCTATAAGACATTGAACTCAATCAATGATATACTATTGACTCAAAACAAAAACTTGACAACCTAGGTACCTTTATTAACTTTTAGAACTTGAATTTTTACTATTCGAATATCTGATTTAGAATAGTCATACTGCTATAGGATGTGATGTTCCGGGAAATAAGGCAGTCTCGTGAAGATCCGAAAGTATTGGCTGCTCAAGCTCAGGAGCAGTATGATAAGGTACTAAGCGTCATTGTCTGGTTATTTTTTCCTTTTTGTTAGAGGTCATATGAATAGTACCCTCTCTTGTTATGGCATTGACCAAAAATCAATTTTTTTAATTCTGTTCCTAAACATACTTTTTGGTTTTTCAGTTAAAAAATAAGTTGCAACTCTTTACCTTGGGTATTGGTGGTGTTGGTCTCGTTTCAGCTTATGTTTCTTACACTCCTGAGATTGCAGCTAGGTACTTTAATTCTTCACTTACCTATTGATTTAGTAACTCTGAATTGATGATCTTCTTCAAGTTATCCTATCTGTTGTCTATGGTAGCTAATGTGGTTCAATTGAGAGCTAAAAATCAGCTTAATATAAAACCACCATCCAGTAAACATACTAAACATGTGATGAACTGAACTTATTGGCGTTGTTCTAGGTTAGTTTATCTAATGAGGGTTCAAGCATTTAATAGTTAACTCGTTTCATAATTATATTAAAACAGTTCTCCTTTAAACTTTTCAAGAAGCTCTTATTAATTTGTTGAGAATTTAGGTTGGATAGAGAAATAAAGATTTTTTTTTTATAGAAACAGTGTGGAAGGAAATAAATGTTAAGATATTTGTATTCCCTGCATTTGAAAACAAAATGAGGAATTGAATGAGAATGTAGTAGTTAAATGATTATATTCCTGAACAGCAAAATCCTTCAGATGAAAGATGTATGATTTATTCCATTTTTTTAATATATGTTTTTCTTTCCTCTATTTAGCTTCGGAGCTGGCTTTCTTGGTTCTTTGGCATACATTCGCATGCTGGGAAGTAGCGTCGACTCGCTAAAAACTGATGGTGCAAAGGGTCTTGTCAAGTAATTTATAGATGATAAATTTACTATTCAGATTTTAGTTTCTTTATAGATAAACTTGAAGTTTCTAATTTCATTTTTTTAGATTCTAAACATCTTATCCATGTTTGAGTTTACACTTATACGTAGCAATCATTGCAAATTTGGAGTAAAAGAAAGTAAGAAATTTAATCAAGTCTCATAACTAATCTAGTTAATAATGTTGTTTAAGTATAATGGTGTTCGTTAGGCTCAAGTCAAGAGATTTCACACTAATCTCAGACCTAAGCCTGAAGAGAGAGTTATCTCTCAAACATACATTCAAACTTGTATATTCCCTGCCCCATAACTGCCAAGGCATAATTGCCCATCTGAAGAAACTTCTTTCAGTCACTCTACTTTTCTTCTGACAAACTTTTCAAGCAGGGCCCATGCCTCCCCTCCAGCAAAATATTTGATGCTTTTAAGTTTATATGTAATCTTTTTATGAAAAAGCTAAATATATATATTGGAAACCCCAAAAATATTTATTGGCCACCCCTATAAAAATATCCTAGCTCCTTCAACTAGGTAAGGCAACTTGATCAGAATTGGATTCAAACTGTTTGATCCTCGTTTTTAATTTTAAAAATGTGGACATGGTCTGTTTTTGTTTCTTTTTTTCACCTCGTTTATGTTATAAACAACATAGGCTTACCGGATGTTACTTTGCAGGGGAGCAATTGGGCAGCCAAGATTACTGGTTCCTGTTGTTCTAGTCATGATCTATAACCGCTGGAACGCGTGAGTCCTCTTTTGATTTGTAATTGCAACATTTATTATTTTGTCAATTAAGTCAATTTAATTTGCTAACAAATATTCTCTATCAAGTTTTTAAGTTTTTCCAGGTATAGCCCTTGTCATATGAACTTGTTTTAGAGAAATAGTCTCTTTTTTTTTAGCCAACTTCCTGAGAAAACTTTTGAATAACAGGCAATCATATCTTTTCCAAAACATTTTTATGTTATTTCTTTGACAAGATATCGGAATACATTGATGTTTGGATGATGTATTGATTGGATGCCATTTTTGCCTATGATTTCTGTGTTCTATGGAACTTCTTTCTCTTAAAGAATGGGGTGAATAACTAGTGCATTTGTTCATGAACCTACTTATCTTAGTTTCTATTGATTACAGGATTCTAGTTTCAGAATTTGGATATATGCACTTGGAATTGATACCAATGCTAGTAGGTTTTTTCACTTACAAGATTGCAACTTTTGTTCAAGCTATAGAGGATGCAATTACTGTAGCTACAAGAAAGACCTGAAGACTATCCTATCAGGGATGTAGGGGATGGTGCCTTGTCATTATATTTGGGTTTTCTCTCCCACATTTTCAGCCTTTTAATTGTATTTATTCATACTTTTCCATATTTGGATTATTGATATTCAGATATTTGACCTGCTATTCCATAGTTTCTACTCCCACAACAAGCACTTGTTCATTTCATTTTTTTCTCATTGACCATCTTGATGTATAGAAGTTGAGTGTCTCATACCCAATTTGAAACCTAAATCAATTATGTATAGTTTGAGATACAAATTTATCATTTAATAATAAATAACTTATTTAACATATAAAAATTAAAAATTAAATAATTTGTAGTATAAAGCAACTCTGAGTTGTAGATATTTTCCTTTAATATGCCAACAAGTTTTCCAATTAGTAAGGTTTGTTTAAACGAGTTTTTCATATATATATATAGAGGGAGAGAGAGAGAGAGAGAGAAGAAAAATATTCAAATTAATTTTTTTGTAAGTTAATTTGTAAAGGTTTTATATAATTTCTCTAATTTTTTCTCAGCCAATGTATAAATTAAACCTAATGTAACAGTACAGTTTTTTTAATGGGGGTGTCAGATGTTTTTATCTTATCCAAACGCGTGAACATTAATTGCAGGCATAATTATAATTGAAATACATAATTGCAAAATGTAATCATGTACTGTAGTTAAGATTCTTAACGTTGGAAAATCAAAATTGTGCAATAATTAAAATGTAAGAACATCAAAATTGCGTCTCTCCATGGATCCAAAAAAAATCATAGGATGCAAGAATTCTGACAAGGAAAACCAAAAGGCATAGTATAATAAAACACCTTTATTTCATTCTAAAACATTTCAATAATTGAAAGTACATGAATAAGACTAAAGAGTACATAAAGCATGTTCATGGCCTATTTTCATGCCTTTTTTTTTTTTTCACTCTCCATCCCCAAAGAAAAGCTTGGGAAGGTGCCTAGCTTAGGAAATATGTACCCTAGTTTCTACCAGGAACTGTCTTTGGAACATTCAAACATCATTTCCAGAGGTGCTTGCTTTGTCATTAGGGACAGGTCCACATCCATTGCTGGCAAGAGAGGGACCAGAATGGGGAACTGGGATGCCTTTTGGAAGGGAAGCCCAGTAGAATGGGGCAGCAAATCTTCCAACACTGGCTTCTCCATGGCCTTGGTGACCCTTAATGTGTAGGTATGTCAAGTCTTTAGCTCTTGTGAGAAAGGCAGCATTTGCTATGGTCATGTTTGAGACTATGAGGAAGAAGAGGAAAAGATGGAAGCTTGAGTGCAAGAAGAGTTTAGAAGCCATGGCAGGAAAATGAAGCTTGATGCTAAAATGCTAATTCTATTGCTAATCTCCATCTAAATGGTTTCAACATTATTTTATAGACAAATGGAAAAGTGAACTGCAATAGAACATTCTCTTCGGTTCTATTTTGCCCCACCTCAAGCTTGTGATTGGATCTCATGGAGTAGAAAAAAAGAAAGAGAAAAGTAGTTTTTTTATTCGACTCAATCCAAAAACACGCTAATTAACTTCCCCGTTGTCATGTTTGTTGTCACAAATATGCCAAGTATAAAGTAAAAATCATATAATTTTATTTTTTACTTAATTACACTTTTACCATTCACCTATTATTATTACCACCGATTTTTTGGCATAATTTACCGAATGAATTTTTTATTTTTCAGCATTTTATCATTCGAGTTGCTTTCCTATTTTATCATTATATTTTTAAATTTTTAACATCATATTATAAGTAAAAAGATCTAATGTGAAAAATTACTAAGTAAATGGCAGAATTTAAGTAAGTTAACATTTTATATTAAAAAATTGAATAAACTTACAAATGGATGAGATCCCACAGACATGATGTCTGTTATATATATATATTACTTTTTTAATATGATGGACTCTCGGGGTAAAAGTTGTTTCTGTTTGAACGAGAAGTATACAAATACGAAAAAGAATTAGGTAAAAATAAAAAAAGTTAAACAAGGTTTAAAATGAGAAATTTTTAAATTAAAATTAATATAATATTCTTGTATATTATTGGATCAAGGTTTTATATATGAATATCTCTGTATGTATAAAATATAATTTTTTATATTTTTTAACATGTGTTATACAAAATAAGATAAATATTAATTTTTATTATTTTTAATAAATTTATCAAGTTTTTTTTATCATTATCTTTATTTGTTTAATATTCTCTATTAAAAAAATTGTTTTTTCAAAAAACTGTCAGTTGCTAGAAAAAAAGAGTATAAATTTTAACAACATATTAACATTTTATCAAACATATTAACATTTTATCACACATTTAACTTATGATAAAATGTTCAAATATTAAAAAATAATGATAATATGTGCGAGAGAAAACTTGAATAATAAAATTAGTAAAATCATGTTAGAGATAGTAAAGTAGTAAAATGACCTTCTTTTTTTTTCTTTTTTAACTTGTCTATATATTGCGCTACCTTGAAAGAAAATGAGAGCTAAATTAATATTTGATGGGGGAGATGTAAACGAAAGACTACTGAAGTGGTGGTAACAGATTCAAATAGTATCGTCGTCATTCACGGAGTATGTTACTTTTGGACCACACACTGACACACTCCCTTCGAGGATGACCCCACCAGCTCAGTTCTGGTGAAACTCTGACAGATTTGTTCCCCATGTAACAGTATTTGAGAGCATAGAGAAAAATGGTACCCTGTTGCCCCATCAGTTTTAAAACTTTTACGACACTAATCCTTATGAGAAGCTCGAAGGTACCTTGTGGCCCCATACATTTTAAAATTGTAAGACACTAATCGCTATGAGTCGAAACGCACAACATCAAATAGCAGAAGAGACTGCAGTTAAAATCCAGGCAATATCCAGTTTTATTGCATGATAATATAGATAAAGTAACTGTTATTTAGTGCTACTTCACTTTTGTAGCAGACAACTTTGGTTAAAAAGTATGTATCCAAAGCTGCAAAGTTACTTGCAAAGAAAGGCAACAAAGGCATGTAGCTCAACCAGTGTTTTGCATGCCAGCAGCAATACCCTTCATTGTCAAAATAAGGGTATCCTCCAGACCAGGAGCATATTCACTTGTAGGGTTGAGTTTTACAAGCTCAGCTGCTGGGTTGCTTGATTCCATGCAGTCTTTCGACAAATGTGGCTTCAACTTCACATGGTAGTCAGGATCACGGATTCTCTTCAATGTGTAGGCTTGCAGGACATTAAGGGTTGTGATGTAAGAATCACGAAGACGAAGTCTTTGCTTCAAATAGGGGTCTCCTTCAAGGAGATCTCTGTGTCCAGCAACCTACAAACAAGATTTACAGAAACAAAGTTGATCATATTCGGGTACTGCCAGAAAGTCATTTATCTTTTACACTTTTTGCTAAATTTAGGACTTAGCCAGAACATAAAATGAAAATACAGGCCTGATACAAATAGAGAAAAGAGAAACTATAACTGCTACATTGTACCATGATGATGGCGTAACAGTGATCAGATGCTGAATCATAATGTAGATTATGAAATCTATAGCATAATAATAGATTACCTGTAGGAGATGGCTCTTGGTTTCTTCATACATAGACCTTAATCGCTCAGCAAATGACCACAGTTCCTCTGTCACTAGGAGCTTATCATAAAGGGCTGCTATCCCGGGGTCTCCCTTGGCGAACACCATCTCAACCAAGTCAAGGGTGACCCTGAAGAAAGGCCATTGATTATACATATCTTGAAGCATTGGCAGATTCTTTGGATCCCTCTTAACTACATGCCTAAATGCCGCCCCAAAGCCAAGCCATACAGGCAGATGAAACCTTGTCTGAGTCCAAGCAAAGATCCAAGGGATTGCACGGAGAGATTCAATTCCTCCACTTGGCTTCCGTTTTGATGGACGACTGCCAATGTTCATTCTTCCATACTCCAACTCAGGTGTTGCCTGCAGTTTGCAATATTCAGTAATAAAGGAAAGAAAAATAGTTTTGACTCCAAAGGAGAGAGCATATGTTTCATAAATCAGCAGATATATAATTGTATTCCAATTAAATCAGAGTTCTTGTAACTGACAATACTATATTTGCAGGATTTGTGATGAAAAAAAATTATAATCAGCAGCCATAAATGTTATTGACGAAATATTTTTAACATTGAGAATGTAACAGGGATTTCATCTTGAATGGAAACAATATTAATACAATGTTGGTTAATCACGCTAATTAGGTTATCATTTCGCAAATAAGCCACTTAAACTGCAAGATTTTCAAGGACAATACTGAAGTATTCAATAAAACTTACACATCGGAAGTACTCAACAAAACGGGGTTCCTGAAAAACAATGGAGCGATACTCCTCTGTAGCAATGACAGCCATCTCATCCATGAGGGCACGCCATTCTGGTTTTGGTGCCACAGGAGGGTGCATTCCATGCTCAAGTGTAGCAGCAGTGAAGCGCTGAAGTGTTCTGAAGCACAAGTGCTGTTCTCCAAAAGACTGTTCAATAACTTCACCCTGTACTGTTACCCGAAGTGAGCCATGAATAGTATCTGGTGGCTGAGATAATATAGCAAGATGAGTGGGGCCTCCTCCTCTCCCCACAGTCCCTCCTCTGCCATGGAACATGGTAAGCTTAACACCAAAATCTTTTGCAACCTTTATGAGTTCCTCCTGAGCCTTGTACAGTGCCCATGCTGCAGAGAGACGGCCAGCATCTTTTCCTGAGTCCGAGTACCCTATCATAACTTCTTGTTTCCCATTGATACGGTCTCTGTACCAATCTATAGAAAATAGACGGGCTACCGCAGCAGGAGCAGCCTCAAGATCAGCAAGCTTTTCAAACAGTGGGACAACCCTTAATGGCTGCTTCACATGACATTCACGTTGTAAAAGTTCTACAGCAAGCACATCAGATGGAGCTGTTGCCATTGAGATGATATAAGCACCAAAGCTGTCTGAAGGAAGCTCAGATATGACATGGAAAGTTTCCAATACATCAGCAATTTCATCAGTTTTAGGAAGATCAGGACCGAAGAGAGGGCGCTTTCCACTGAGCTCAGATAGCAACCATTCCTGCCTGCGCTCCTCAGACCATTCTCGATAAGATCCAATCTCCAAGTGGTTTGTAATAGCATCAATAACATCAGTGTGCCGATCCGATTCTTGACGAATATCAAGTCTCACAAGGGAAAGCCCAAATGTGGAAACTTGGCGCAAGAAATCAAGAAGGCTTCCATCAGCTATTGGTTGGTCACCACATGCACACAGTGACCTGTAACACAATTCAAGAGGCTCCAGGAACTACAAGAAAAAAATTGGAGGTTATATAGTTTTAGTATAATAGCTTAAATTACTTATCATGATTATTCTGAAAACTTATAATCCATGTCATACAACAGGTATTGCATTGTCGGAGTTGTGGATTTGATACTGTTTGAATAAAATTGGTAAGATATTAACTATAGAGTTGAGAGAAAAAATGTTGCCAACTGAACAGATATTTACTACAATTATTAGCGATACACAATTATCCAAGTGGTTAGAAAATTATCCTCTTCAAACTTTTAGAAGGATCAACCAAAACTCTCCAGAGAAAACTAAAAGCAACCAATCCTAATATATGTCAGTATTCCCATCCTCAAGAAGTGAAACAATTTGTAAAAATGGGAAATCCAACACTGCTACTAACATATACACATCAAAGAATGAACAATGCATATTTGAATGGCTAGAGAAAATGGGCAAAAAATTAAGAGTGTTCAAAATTAGAACATAATCTAAAGACAAAGATGGAGGCAATAATGAGTCACTTAAAAGCACTTGCCTTATGGGTGAAAGGTTCAATTATTTGTATCTTACAATAGTTTATCAGGCTAATTTAGGATAATACCTGTTCGACATTAGTGAAGGTAGTCTCCTCAGGGATTTCAGAGCTTCCATTGGCTAACAACTGCCGAGCACGTTCGCGTGTATTATATAATTTGTCCCTTACATCACCGAGAATAACGCGATATGGTTCATTTGGAGGAATTTGTTTCCAAAACTCTAGAGCAATAAAAAATTTATTAACATTCAGTACAATTTACTATCAAAAGGTTCAAATCTAAATGAATCAATTAGTATGAGAACCACCATAACTTTAGTTTAGTATTGAAAATGAAAATTTCTGATCAATATCATAGATTCCAGCAAAGAATATATTAGTGTTAGAGTATAATTCAGATAAAAATGTTATCATT